GTATAAAATGTATTTTTCCCATTTCCTCAGTTTCAGGAATCAATACAAAATCAAAGTTCTGCCTAACAAAGTGAAAACATTGGAGGAGTCTTTGAAATTGAAATTAGAAACAGGGGTCATCTTCACGATTCATGAATATATATTTTTTTGTCTTTTAATGACCCCATAATCCCTTACATCAGGATGGAGTCGGGGAAACTGAATGGAGCTGAGTGTTTACTGGCTGGATGCCCTTCCTGTCACCAATGTGGAGTTTCATTCAGCAGATATATTGTCATTGTGCCCAGAGAGAGAAATATCTGCCGCGACCTAGGATCAAACTCACAGCCTCCTGATCGTGAGAGGCGAGAGCTCCACCTGTGCACCACTCCTTCATGATTCATGAATTGATTTTAAATATATATTGATTTTGTTTTATCAACAAAAATAAAAGAGAAAATAGAAAAACAACAACAAAAAATACCTCCAGCACTAACAGCAACAACAACAACAAAATGACCCAAGTATCAAATAAATTTAACATTAAACATATAGAATCCACTCCTGCTGGATGCTGAAAAAAAAAAAGCAACGATGAATTCTCCTCCCCTTTACATAACAAGTCTACAAATAATTATAAGCTTTCCCATCCCTATTTAACAAGAATATTGTGTTAAATAAGAAATATTCCATATCTGATAATCAAATCAACCTAAGATCTAATCATAATACATACGTACGTATGTCAACAGGTTAGGCTAAATGTTACACTAATCAAATCCCTCTATTAACCATCTGTTATTTAACATGTAAAAACGGTTTACGAGTCATGAATTTGATCATGAGAAAGCATAGTTGGATTATGACTGTTGGGTGCTGATGGACAATGGGAGGGTTAGGGCTAGGTTAGGGTTAGCGGTTAGTGGTGGGATTAAAAACTTTTTACTATTGGTTCTGTGGGTGTGTCTTGGTGGGCGTGGCAGGGGAAGGATACTGTAAAATCTCCATTCTACCCCACTCCAGGGGAAGGTTACTGCAAAATCCCCATCTCTCCCCACCCACTAACCTGCTTTCCAGCTCCGTTCTCCTGTGCAGGGCAACAAAACAAGACCCAGCTGATCAGCTGGGACTCAATGGGAGGCAGAGAATAGATGGGGGCGGGGCCAGTCAGAGGTGGTATTCCAAACTACTCAAAATTTCCGCTACCAGTTCTGCAGAACTGGTCAGAACCTGCTGAATGCCACCTCTGTTAGCGGTGAATAACTTTTTCACTTATTAAATATAATAGAATATAAGAGAGGTGCCTGGTGTTCCCAATCTTCACGTTTCAGTTACAGATATCCCTCTATTATGCTATAATGTTGGTTTGACTTGGAGAAGACAAACTTTTGAGATGTTTACAGGGGAATTACAGAAAAGATCTTGCCCCTCCAATTCTCCTTGGATGTATGTAAGAAAAACTAAAATATTGTTATCAACACAGACCTAGACAGGCTCGTAAGAATCCTTTCAGCTCAGTCCATGCAGTCATCTGACATCTTAGCAAAACCAGGTGCAGCGAGAATTTTATACGTGCCAATATGGAAAGATATGTCAATTCCCACAACAGATGGATGGGGAAAAGGGATCGAATTATCAGACATGGCAAAAGTAACTATTTTAAGGAAATTTGTCCTGCTAACCCTGGCTTTGGGGTTTGGATGATGAGCTTAACTTGTTATACAAATGGCTAGTAGCTACTAATTATATGAAAGTAAAAAGTGGAGACTGTAATTTTTTACTTTGTAATTTACTGCACTGAAAAAAACTTGGAAGTTACTACTTTTTTCTTTTTTTCTTCCTATCAACATTTCTTTTCCCCTTCCTTTTCCTACTTCACTTTCCCGGTCTTTATTTCAATTTGTATTTTACACTAAGATAAACTTCAATGCAATCTTTTTTTTTAAATAACATCTTAGGAAAACAATGGAAGGGAAGCCAACATGTTGACAGGAACGTCTCGTGAAGCTTGGAGCATCTCGCTAGAGATTATGTAGGTATCTTTCCTAGCATCTGCTGTGTAAGATTCTTTTTAATTGGAGACATCAGGTATTGATGTACGAACATGGGAATTGCTCGTTTTATTGGAAGACAGAAAAAAAAATCCAGACAAGGCCAGAAAATGCCTGCATTTCTCCTCATCTTCAGTAATGTAATGTATTCAGAAGTCACCTTTTCCTGGGGCAGAATTTCTCAAATAAATCATGGGCTTAGCTATTTTTCTTTATTTAAGGCAATTCTGCGCATGGTATTTGTGACCTCAATTTTAGCTCTACTTTGGTTAAAACAAAAAACAACAACAACAACAACATAAAAAAGCAGGGATTTTGTTTGCAGCATTGCTGAAAACGGCTTGGATCATAACCTTTGAGAAACGCTAAGCCGCAATAAAAATGATAAGTGTGGCGATAAATCCTGCAGAATATAAAGCTCTTTGAAAAAAGGAGAGAAATTAATGCAGATTTATTATAATTTATTTTAGCAGGGGAAAAAAAACCCGGTCAACGGTTAGCGCTTGGGGAAGTTTTTGTGGCTGATCAGGATGACTGGGACAATAAAACATTTGCCTTGGAAAGAAAAATGCACAAATAAGGAGTATATTGGTGTCAGCTGGAGTAATAGTTAATATTTATGTGTCTGTAATTGTTTTTTTTTTTAAACAAAAGCCCTTTCTTGTTTGTGTTATATGTACAAAGATGGGATTGCAGTTGGGTTTTCTTTTTAAATTTGTATTTTGCAACCATGATGTGTGCTCGAGGCTCAACAATCAGTTGTGTTTCACAGTAGTAACCAGTTTTTGCTGCTGGGTTTAAATTCCAATTGCCTTTCTAAGGTTTGAGACAGAATTGATTGTAACAAAGCAGGTATACAGAGCTTTCTTTCACATTTGGCACAGCTATTGCACAAATTCTGTGTGTCCTCCACAAAGCAGATAAAAGATGGATTTGCATTTTTAAAATTCCTCTGCATTGTCGGTTAAAGTATATGCTCAAGGATTTAAAGGAATGTTTCCTGAAAGGGATTTTATTCAAGGACCCATGTTAATCAATTGGGGAGATGTTTTTCCAGGACAACTGCTTGTTTTCATGCCTGTTTTTAATTAAGCAATATTCCATACCACTTTTTTTTCCTGTCAAAAAGAAAACAAAAACAAAACAAAGTATTACTTTTGATCAATGACAGCAGACATGTACTAGTTAAAAGTTCAAGCCATCATTGGCCACCCTAAAAGCTTTGTGGAAGACCGAGTTGATTGATGGCTCTGAACGGCCCTCTGGAAGGGATTTGGCTGAGATTCCAGCTGGGGAAAGCTTGCAGTAGCAGGTGGCCAGCGAAGAGGAGGAGGAACTGCCTTCTGTACCTAATCCGAGAACATGTAGGGCAAAGAAAAAGGACAGGAGGAGAGAAGGTCAGCTAGACTACTGGAGACGAGAAAGCTCTCCCCATCTTGATGGGCTGCACTGGAAAGCTGGCTATTTATCACAGCAGACAGATGGAGGTGTGGCCGGGAAGAACGTGTTTGTTTTCTACTCGTGATTCCTGCCTCACTCTGGACTGACACCATGTTTGGAATCAAATCATGCCTTGGAAACTCTGGACTTTTCTTCCCTCGTGAGCTCTCTTGTGCGTGGATTTTTGTTTTGCCTGGTGGATTTGTTTGGTGGAGTTATTTTGTTTGAACGACTTTCAAGTGCTGTGTGGACTATTGGGCCATTGCTCTGTGGACTAACCTTGGTCTGCTCGTGGCTGGACTTAATTGGGACAGTTCTGGGTTTTGGTGAAAGGAATTGCTAGGGAATATTAATAAACTCACTAAACTGCAGTTATGTTGAGAGTGAGTAGTGAGTGAAATCAGTAGTGGGATTCTACCGGTTCGGGCGAACTGGTAGTAAAAAAAACAGCTACCGGTTCGAGGGAACTGGTATTTCTTTTTTTTCCTCCCAACGATCAGCTGTTATGACGATCAGCTGTGCCGGGATCCCCCTCGCTGTCTTACTGCTTACCCAGGAGACTTGCACGCCCCCAGTGCACTATTTGTTGCCTTCCTGGGCCTCAGATTTTGCTCCAATGGAGTGCGGGTGTGTGCTGCACACCCAAAAAGAAGCCACGCCCACTCAATCACATGGCCACACCCACCTAGCCACACCCACAGAACTGGTAGTCCAAATGACCCAAATGATGGTTCTCTCTTGAGAAGCTAGAAAATGAGCTTTTTTTAAGTAAATGGGGTTAAATGTATTATGTGAACTCTGCCGAGCTGACCTTTTATCTGTGTAGGCAACTTGGGAGAAATGTAAGCATCACTGAGTCAGCTACCCTATGAATTTAGCATGAATTAAAATTTACCTTTCCCATTGACCAATCTAGAGGCTGTTTTCTTGGCAAGATCAAGCGTGCATCCCTGTAGGCTTAATTAAAGTTTTAGTACTTTACTGAAACACTTTATTACTGAATTCTGCTGAACTGGCAGGGGACTCCAACCTCATTAAGGGAAAGGAGAGAAATTATTAAGGGATTTTCACACTCTTAAAACAAAAAACACGGTCGAGATACACCTTTGACTTAAAACCTCGTTCTTTTTCGTTGCAGAACTTCCTGCCTACCTGAATTTGGTGTGTGATTGACACAATCACAACTATCCCAAGGATATTCCCAAGGACAATTGCAAAGAGGAAACCTTTTCATTAATTGGGAAATGGAAGACAGCTTTGTTGGGGAGCTTTAATCTCATTACCCATCTTCATTTAATTAAATCTGGGAGGTGCTAGTCGAAACCCTGTTTCTTGTATTTAGAAATTAATTGTAGCAATTTTCTTACATGAATTACTCAAATCGGCCAAAGATACCCCTAAGGATCCCTTTGATGGCTTTCCAAAGGCATATGGCAGCCACCACAATTTGTAACACCGGCTGCGTTCCACTGGGAATTACTTTTAGTGCTTAAATTAGGAAGGCAGAGAGATCATTGCCTTCTTTACTTACCATCCATTTCAATAGGGTTTGCTTAAGAGGACATCCTAAGAGAGGTTGTGCCCACAACGGATGGGCGGCTACTCAAAACCTGGAGAAGTTCTGCATCAAGCAAACTCTTTTCTTCAGTTCCGTATGCAATGTTCAAATTAGCGATAATTCCAACGACTTTCTTAAAAATAAGGCACTACAAAATTGATGGTAAAATAGAAAATATTTACAGGTCACGGTTGCACTGTGGGGTCCTTGCTGTATTCTTGCTTATTTTCTTGTAGACATTTCATTACCCAACTAAGGAACAATATCCCAGCCAAGGAACTACCAGCTCAGACAATCTAACAGTAAACAATAGCTTAATCAAGGAAACACCAAGAATACTCTACCAATACTGACAGGACAAGCTACTTGTACATAAACAGATAGCAAATCCCACTCCCGTAAGCACTGATGACGTTACTTAGTTGGGTAATGAAATATCTGCAGGAAAGCAACTAAACTCAGAGACCACCAAGGACCCAAGATAGATGTCTTCATTAAACTTCAAAAGGTGCCCAAATAAGACCTTCTCGTACATCAATGATTCACAAAGGGTTTGTGCTGAGTGGTGTATGGATGAGTCTTTGGAACCACAAAATCATATTTTCCATTAAAAACCAAGTATGTGGCTTTTTTAGGATAATTCTTTATAGTATTCTTTATCCTCCTTAGGACGTTACACACTCAAAATGAGGTGGAAGCAGAATACAGAAACTGAACATGGTTTTATATCAGAGCATTTTCATGTGAAGTTTCTTGAACTCCTCGAAATATAGGTCATTGTATTTTACTGCACTCTATTAAATCTCAATTACAACATTCTATGCCTAGACAAATCAACAATTAAGCATGAAAGGAAAGAAAGCAAATTGCTACTCATAGACTTGACATACGGTGTAAAAAGTCCTGCTAGTAATAATGGTTTGAAGAACCACAGACACTGAAAATGGGTAGGAGTGCAGTGACCACAAGCACTTGGGTGTTCCTGAAATTTTTTGCTGGATTGAGTGTTTAATTGTTAATAACGCTTCCCCTGCTAAAGCTTTGAAGAAAATGGATCCATCTACTACAGCTGATACTGAAGACCAAGGAACCGAGAGTTGAGAACTGAATTTCCTTCTATAATAGTCTTTCCCAACCGTGTCAACTTTAAGACATGTGGACTTCAACTCCCAGAATTCCCCAGGCAGCCAGGAGAATTCTGGGAGTTGAAGTCTACATATTTTAAAATTTGCCAAGGTTGAGAAACACTGCTCTAAATAGTCCATTCCTATTCTCAGTCCTTAACAAGGATAGGGAATTGTAAAAGGTCGAAAAGACTTCCAACTTATAAGGCTCACGAGTACATCAAGCTGTAACAGAATTCCCTAAAGACTAAATGGGAAGACTCACAGAGGCCCTTAATGCATGGGATGTAGATGAGTAGGGGGTGGTATTGCCATAAAAGACACTTCCCCATCTTTAGATCTTTTTTTAAAATCATAGAATATTGGGGTAGAATTTATGAAATATTTGCCTTTCATGATCTCTGTTCTATATATATCAGCGGCCTCTGTCAACTAGTTTTTGATAACTTACATAGATTATGGGACATGTAAAAATGTTACAAAAGGGAACGTTCTTGCATTGTCAGAGTAATTAAAAAGTAAACACTTTCAACCAATTGAAAACAATTTCCCTTTTTTTAAAAAAAGCCACTTTTATAAACTAGCGCTTTCTGCGACTGGCTGTAGCAAAAGCTATGTGGTGTTTTGATGTCGAGCCAGTTTGTAAACATGGAATGTTTTGTTGTGAAAGACTTTAGTAAAATACATCGTGTATGAGGGCAGATTTCTTTTGATTTCCTCACAGAATCGAGGGAACGGTGAAGGTTTGAGATCAGGATCATCTTCTCCTGGACCATCCATCATCTGTAACAGAAAGTGCAAGGCTGTTTATTTTTATTTTACTTATTTGTATCCTGTTTTATTATTTTTACAAATAACTCAAGGTGGTGAATATATCTAACACACCTTCCTCCTCCTATTTTCCGTACTACACCTGCAAGGTGAATTGGCACGTGTACACATGCACGAGAGAGAGGGGGGAGGGAGGGACAGAGAGAGGGAGGGAGGGACAGACAGAGAGAGAGAGAGACAGAGAGGCCCAAATTCATCTAGCTGACTTTCGTGCCTAAGGTGGGACTAGAACTCTCTGTCTCCTGGTAATTGGCCCAAAGTCACCCAGCCAGCTTTCCTAAGGTGGGATTAGAACTCATTGTCTTCTGGTGATTGGCCCAGAGTCACCCCGCTGGCTTTCATGGCTAAGGTGGGACTAGAATTCACAGTTTCTAGTCATCTAGCCTGGTATCTACATTATTAGACCAAACTGGCTCATTTAGATCAAGCAAGGAAACTAAAATAGTATACTATGTCAACCTTCCAACCACCTGATTTATTTATTAGTTTTATTTATTTATTAATTAAACGAATATGCCGCTACTGGATTGGTTTCCCACATCCATCCTGCAACAGTGCTCGCCTGTTTTCTGAATTTCAAATGTGTCCACCAGGCCAAAAAGGTTGCGGACTCCATATGTAATTGCTTTGTTTCCTGGTTCACGATGGATTTCATAAAGGGCATCCCAGGGACACGTAAAAGAATAATTGAATTCTTGGAGTTACTTAAATGCAATTCGGAGCACTGATGTTGGTGGAATCTAGTCCAGATCTGGAATCCCGCGGAGCAAAAAGAGAAACCGCTTGGAATCTTTGTTATGCAGGAAATGGGCGAAGGTGGACCCACCCTAGCAACTAGACAACTGGCTTTGGAAAAGACTTACGTGGCCATTGGCAATATCCAGAAGGTCACGCAACCGACAACCCCTGCTATGCCTTCTTTCGTAACAAATGCTGTCCTCCAAGATCACAAAGTCCGTGCCAAAAGATCTGAGGATCCTATGAACATCTTCGGGTGACCTTTTGGCATACACCTGATAAACCTGGGTGAAAGAATTGGGTTGAATTGCTTTATTAATTCATTAGATGTGGGAATAAAAGATGACTAAAGGACGGGATGTGGTGGCCCGTCGATTGGAAAGGTTGGCAGTTTGAATCCCTAGCGCTGCATAACGGAGCGAGCTCCCGTTACTTGTCCCAGCTTCTGCCAACCTAGCAGTTCAAAAGCATGTAAAAAGAAATGCAAGTAGAAAAATAGGGACCCCTTTGGTGGGAGGGTAACAGCGTTCTGTGCACCTGTGGCGTTTAGTCATGCCGGCCACATGACCACAAAAACATCTTCGGACAGCGCTGGCTCTTCGGCTTTGTAACAGAGATGACACCCGCCCCCTAGAGCCAGAAACGATTAGCAGGTATGCGCGAGGGGAACCTTTAAAGGATGGGAACAAGCTATACACACATGGAGATCAGTCATGTTTAGTCACAATAGTCTCATGGGATTGGAACATCGGTGTGGCATCAGTGGAGGGGGCAGGGTGGCATCACAGAGGATGGGATTAAAATAATTTAGCAACCAATTTTGCCCAGGGTAAGGTTGGCTGTTGTGGGAGGCATGGCCCGTCTCCATCCTCCAGCTCCGCCACACGTGGGATAAGCCTCCTGCGATGGTCAACCTGACCCTGGATGAACCGGTTGTAAAATTGCACCCCCCGCCACCATCAAAGTGGATCCTAGGCGCTGCGTTGCCATGGAGAAACGGAGCAACCGGCACAAGGGGAGGAGGAGGAGCAGGGAGAAGAAAGAGGGAAAGTGGCTGTCTCCTTCCCTTGCACCAGCCGCTCCGTTGCCCATTTCTCCATTGCAGCACAGTACGATGGATCCACTTTGATTGCAGATGAGTGGGTAATTTAACAACTGGTTCATTCAAACCGCTGCAAACCGGCTGAATCCCACCACTGGCAGGACATTGGCACAATGTTGATGACTGGGGACAGGGCATCAACTCTCCCCAACAGTCCCAATTTCTCATAGGGCCCCTTGGGAAAATTAATTGCCCACCCCCGATCAATAGCCTTAATATCACTTGCTAGAAAAATACTGTTTTGGATCCTCGAATGCAGATTACATGTTAAAAAGCAAGGTGAGATGTTCAGGGTGGCTTTAGAGAAAGCCGAGGAAGATGGGACATTATTGCTGATGCACGCTGGATAATTGAAAAAAAAGGCAAATATACAGTATTTATATATATATAAAGTGTGTGCTTCGTCTGTTTTAGAAAAATTGTGTTTTTAGGGGCCAAAATGTTTCTAACACCTCGGTGAATACGCCAATGTTAATAAGTTTTATATTATAAAATTTGTCTTCATCGCAATGAGCATGAAAGGAAGAAAGGAAAATTATGTTGGTGATATTTGTTTGAGGGAGGAGGGGAAAAAAATGGAACTGTTATCCACCATTGCTAAAAACGAGGACAACCCAAGAAGCTGGCGAAGGTCAGATCCTCTTACCTGCTTTGTTCTTTCTCGCAGACTCTTGTCTTCATAATGGGGGTGATTGGTTAAAATTCTTCCAGTGCAAAGCTTAACCCCGGCTAAGAGCTGCATACTTCCTGCAATCACTGCTTCCTTTGGAGTGTTGGACCTGAAGCAAGATTAAGATTCAATTCAGAAGTGATAGGATTCATCTCTTTGCTACTTTGACCAGCTTACGATCCAGGATCAGATAATGGTATAATATCGAATGTTGGGTTTACTACTGCCTTTATCAGTACAACCTACGAAGGTTGCAGTCATGAAGGAGACCAGAAAGCATCAAAAATCCAGACGGTTGAGATCAACAAAGTTCCATGCCTACTTCCCAAGTTGGTTCAAGGAAATTTGGGTCACTAGACGGCTTACAGCAAGGGCTGGCAAGTTTTTTCAGGCAAAAATCAAATGATTAAAAATAAAATAAATAAATCAGGGTTCACTTGCAATGATGAGATCTCAAGATGTCACCTCTACGACCACTAATTAAATTCAGTTAGTCTGGAAATCTATAGGGAAGCAGTGGATAGATATTCTTCTATAAATGAACATAAATTTGAGGGGCTGCCACAAAGGGGGTCAATTTATTTTCCAAAGCACCAGGGGGCAGGACAAGAAACAACGGATGGAAACTAATCAAGGAGAGAGAAGCAACCTGGGATTGTGGAGGAACTTCTTAATAGTGAGGACAATTAACCAGTGGAACAGCTTTGCCTTCAGATGTTGGGGGTGTTTCATCACTGGAAGTTTTTAAGGAGAGACCGGACAGCCGCTTGTCTGAAATGGGATAGGGTCTCCTGCTTGAGCTGGGGGTTGGACTAGAAGACCTCCAAGGTCCCTTCCAACTCTATTCTGATTGAAATGAAAAGAGTTATCTTTCTGCCTCCGCGTTCTTCCTTCCAGGGGAAAAAATGCACTTGAAAGACAGACACACAGCCTGGCCATCTGTTTGACATTTCGTCTCATCAAAGCTTTTTTGCACATAGGAAAACAGACAGTTGTCCTTCCAAAATCCTGTCTGACGTGGGGAAATTCCCGAAGGGCAACCTTGCCAAATAACCAGGCACAGTACACCTCTTTTATCGTCCTGCTACATGGCCACGAGGATGCTGCCATGGTCATAAATGTGGAAAACGGACATAAGTCACCTTTTTCAGCGACGCTGTAACCTTGAGTGGTCCCTAAAGGAGCTGTTGTAAGTCGAGGACCACCTGTACTAAAGCATTGCCCCCAGATAGCCACTTCATAATCATCTACTGGAGATGTTCTCCAGATGATCTGATGCATAGCCCTTGGGTATAAATAGGTAAAGTGAAAAATAAAGGCTCCCCTCGCACATCCGTGCTAGTTGTTTCTGGCTCTAGGGGGCGGTGCTCATCTCCGTTACAAAGCCAAAGAGCCAGCGCTGTCTGAAGACGTCTCCGTGGTCATGTGGCCGGCATGACTAAACCCCAGAAGGTACACGGAACGCTGTTACCTTCCCACCAAAGGGGTCCCTATTTTTCTACTTGCACTTTTTACATGCTTTCGAACTGCTAGGTTGGGAGAAGCTGGGACAAGTAGCAGGAACTCACTCCGTGACGCGGCGCTAGGGATTCGAACCGCCGATCTGCCGACCTTTCTGATCAACAAGCTCAGCGTCTTAGCCACTGAGCCCCTGTGTCCCGCCCTTTAGTCATGTTTTATTCCCACATTTAATGAATTAATAAAGCAATTCAACTCAATTCTTTCACTCAGGTTTATCCGGTGCATGCCAAAAGGTCACCCAAAGATGTTCATAGGATCCTCAGATCTCTTGGCACAGACTTTGTGATCTTGGAGGACAGCATATGTTATGAAAGAAGGCATAGCAGGGGTTGTCAGTTGCGTGACCTTCTGGATATTGCCAACGGCCACGTAAGTCTTTTCCAAAGCCAGTTGTCGGGACCAAGGGACCAAGAACGACACAGAGAGTTACATCACAGTTGTCGGGACCAAGGGACCAAGAACGACACGGAGAGTTACATCAGAGTAGCTGGAAAGGTGGGATGTCAATAACCAAATAAACAATATTGCTTCAGATCAAGCATTGCTGACACAGTTTGCCTCCCACTCCTCAAATCTTTCACCCTGAAGCAGCCCCTCAAATGCTCAACTTCAGCCTTCCTCAGCTAATGTGCTTCAAACGACCAAACGGCAGTTTCCCATTACAGAAAGACGAAGCAATTTTTACAAATGTCTGGATAAATGATGTATAAAATGAAAGGATAATTTGTTTTTATAGGTTTCTGCCAAGCTTCATACCCAGGCTGCTCAACCCTCATGCAATTTATTCTGCAAGAAATGTCACTAAATAATGACAAGGACTTAGAGGTCAAACTGATTTACATTATGTAATTTAAATGTCACTCCAAGCAGACCTGATGGCATTTTGAACAAATAATCTCATTTATTTTGGAAGCTCCAAGCTTCAACAAGTTAATTACTGTTAAACTAATGGGGGGTAAGCTGAGCAGAGTATAATGTAAAATGGGAACCTCTGTTTTATCTACACTTTCCAGTATTATAGAATTATTATCAAATAACTCATTTGCAACAGAAAGCTTCAATGGGAAGTACAGGAATTTTGGGGAAAAGACAGAGTTTTCCCTTCCTTTGGATCTTTTCAAAAATAAAGATTCATTTCAACATTAGAGGAAAGGCGGCAGTATTTCTGTGCTCATTTGGCAATATTTAATCGCCAGTGTTACAAATGCAGGTACTGCAACCCTAAACTCTCCTAATTTGGCATTACTTTGACATAGATTGAATGTTTCCTGATGGTGCATAAGAACAAAAAATGCTGTATATGAAGCTTAGCCTAGGACATACCAAAAAGGAAAAAAAAACTGTTTAAGAAGCTTAAGCTTTTGATTTTTAAAAAAAGAAGGGAAAAACACACCTGGGAAGATAGAAAAACTGCATGTCGGAAGTCAAAGGATTGTGTACAGAAATGCTGAATGAGACAAGGCAAAGTCAGACTGAAACTTATATGAATTGGGATAGAGCTGGAAGGGACCTTGGAGGTCACGTAGTCCAACCTGCTGCTCAAGCAGAAACCCCTATACCATTTCAGACAAGTGGCTGCACAGTCTCTTTTTTAAAAACTTCTAGGGATGGAGCACCCACAACTTCTGAAGTCAAGCTGTTGAATATGATGAAATACTGGCACTCCTCGACTTATGACGGGTTTGATTAGTGAGCATTTGAAGTTATGACAGACCTACCTTGAATATGGTCTACTTACAAGCAGCGCCAAAGTTCCCATGGTCAGGACCCTTCCACAACCACGTGAGTGAACTCTTAGCTCTTGGCAACATGATGGCATTTACAGCCATTTGCAACGTCCCACACTCACCTGACCTTGTTTTATAACAATTTTGAAAACTACCACTTATTTCCAGTTTTGGGCAAAACCGCGCCCGGAATGAATTATGGGTTTGCTTTTCGACCCCTTTTACAACCACAGTGGCCACTATACAACCGCTGCCTTTACTTAACGACTGTCGCAGAAAAGATTTTACTACCTGTGCTACTGAATTACTGAGATCTTATTAAGTCTGATTCCCAACTTCAGGTCAGAGGCGTAAATTGGTTGCCAACTGCTATTCCTGCAAAAGTAATTAACTTCTTCAATGCATAATGTTTCCCCTCCACGCCCATAAATCCCATGTAACAAATCACAAGGAAAAAAAAGGTAATTTAAAAGGAGGAGGCTAAGCAACAGTTCTGTATTCTCCAGCCCAGAACTGTGTTGAAAAATGGTGTTCGTTGCGACTTGTCAAATCCAGTTTGTGGCTGAACCCAAACACCCACGTATATTTTATGTTTAAATCTATATATAAAACACTGCATATTGCACTCGGGAGACCAGGTTTATCAAACATTTAGCATCTCTTAATACAGAAGTGGTTTTAAAGCCCTCTGGCTGGTGAAGATTTGTCATGAGAATATGCCAATAAGGAAGCAGAAGGATGGAGATCACTTTAGCTGGCTTTCAGGATGCTGTCAGTGATTTATATGACCTCTTTACTTTTGAATAATTGCACTATTCATTATTATAGCCAGAAAGAGAGAAATTAGAATGAAGTAGTATAAAGAACAAACATTATGCCCCTAACCCCTAGAGATCATCTTAATCAGGGTTGGCAACTTTTAAGACCTGTGGACTTCAATTCCCAGAATTCCCCAGCCAGCATAAAGTGCCCATCACAGTCCTTAACCGAACACTGCTGCCATTAAGCAAACCCATTGTTTTCTATGAGGTATTATTTATTTGCACCCAACCTTTATACATTTTTATAAATAGCTTAAGACAGCAAACATATCTAATATTCCTTCCTCCTCCTATTTTCTCCACAAAAACCCTATAAAAGAAGTTGGGCTGAGAGAGAGTGACTGGCCCAAGGTCATTCAGCTCGCTTTCATGCCTAAGGTGGGATTTGAACTTACGGCCTCCCGATAGGTGTCTTATCGGCTAGACTAAACAGGGTTTTTTGCCAAAAATTAGAAGAAAACACCCATTATTATCAATTGTGGCGGTGGTTGCCAAGCAACCAAAATCCATTGGAACTTTGGAACAGCAAGTACTTTTTTGGGGTGTGCATGTGTCTCTGTCGTAATTCGAGGACTACCTAGCAGTCAGAACAATCTGTGACATGCTAAAATTGTGTGCCATTTTGTAAAATATTTGCAATAGTTTGTTCATGTTTTTTTTTTATTTTCTTGCCTGTTTAGAACCTGGGCTATTGCATCATTGATGTAGTGTAGTAGACAGCATTTCTCAACCTCAGCACTTGAAGATGGGTGGATTTCAACTCCCAGAATTCCTCCAGCCATAAGCTTGCTAGCAGGGCTAATTCTGGGTGTCAAAGTCCACCCATCTTGAAGGGGCTGAGGTTGAGAAACACTGCAAGCTGGCTGGGAGAATTCTGGGACTTGAAGTCCACTTATCTTCAAGTGACTGAGGTGAACAAATAGTGGTGCAGGATATCTTGAACGTTGTCAAACCATGGTCAGCTGCTGAAAGTTTGGTCTGATGGAACAAAAATTTCTAACAAGATGTTTCTAGAGTCTTTATCTCTTGCCAACTGTTGGGACCGCCACACCAAAGCTGAATCCTCACTCATCTGAAGGTTATAGGTTGCCAAAAAATGGCATTGGGTAGTAATCTTAGTACCCATATTAAACCAAGTTACCTAGCTCATTTTTTAGCCTTTAAAAATTTAAGTAATTGAATAGAATTGGAAGCCATGGTCACAAAAGACATTGACTCGCCCATCCAGCATGTGATTTAAACAGAATAAAGTTCCTTACTTAATCCAGTTCATCAGCTCCACTGTGTCCGGGTCGTAGAATTCTCTCAGCTCTGACAGCTCTGCCATTATTCCAGGCAGGAACTAAGAAGAAAACAAACATAACCAAATAAATCATGGCAGATGCCCAAAGGAGCCCAGCTCTTCAGTATGGAAAAAAACCCCATCATTTATAACGCCCGGGCAGCAAAGTTACTAGCAGATGTTTCTGATCTTTGATGCACTGTTTTGTTTGGCAATGGCGGACTCTCGTTTTAAAACACGTACAAGGGAAAATATGGACCAGGATAAAATCCAGAACAAGAAATTGGTGAAAGGCACAACTCAGATGAGTGTACGTGGTGTGTATGAGTCTAAGCAGGGAAGGTAGCAGCCACAATATCACAACTCAACCCAGCCTCCTTTTGTGCAGGCGTTTGCATCGTATGCGCATGTAAAGGAGTTTGTGTCAACGGTCGGACTATCGAACCCAACAAATGTGGACAGTTTCAGGAACTTTGAAATCCCAAAAGCAAAACTTTATACTGGGCACATCATTTCAGCACTGAAAAATGCAAAACCAGCTCTAACTTTTCCCGTACAACCCTGCATAGTTAAAAGAACAGATTTCTCCCTTCCTCCCACTGCACAGGTCACATTGTCCAATGATGAATCGTTATTTTGTTTTGAGAACAGTTCACATCTTGGCTGACACCTGCAGAAGTGTCCTTGGCTCTCACGGTTGAAGTCTGGAGCCTCCGCATTCCATCTTCCCTCCAGCTCTTTAGCAAGTTGAAAAGCAATAATATTTACAGGAAGCATCAGCGAATTCAATCTTGACAGTTTGGGCTTCATTAGTAAAGCTGCAACTTTTGTTTTGTTGTGAAGAGGCTGCTGGGTAGCAGTGGTGCTATTCTACTGGTTCAGCCCGGTTCTGGTGTACCAGTAGCACCGAAGATCATCCGAGACGGAACCGGTTCTCTCTGAGCTGCTGTTGGGCCCACCTGCCTGCCCAGGCTCGTGTATTGACCTTTATTCCCTGCTTTTGAAGTGCAGCTGCGCCGTGTGTCAGCTGCTGAAGCCACAGGGATTGCAGGTGAGTAGGAAAGCCTATGCGTGTGTGCAAAGTGCGTGCACGTGCAAAGCGTGTATGTGCACGCCCGAAGCGTGCCCACCAAGCCATGTCCACCGAACTGGTGGTAAACCTCTTTGAAACCCACCACTCCTGGATAGGTATGTTACTTATGGGGTCGCTGGTGCTTTCTGAGTTTGATTCATTTCTTGCAGACGTTTCACTACCCAACATCAGGAGTCTCTGTGGCACAATGGTTAGAGTGCAGTACTGCAAGCTACTTCTGCTGCAGCCAGCTGCCTACAATTTGGCAGTTCAAATCCCACCAGGCTCAAGATTTACTCAGCCTTCCATCCTTCCGAGGTGAGTCAAATGAGGACCCAGATTGTTGGGGGCAAGAGGCTGATTCTGTAAACCACTTAGAGAGGGCTGAGAAGCACTATAAAGTGGTATATAAGTCTATTGCTATTATCGATTTTAGAAAGGAGTGGGGTTTTCTCTCTCTCTTTATATACAGGTAGTCCTTGACTTCATGACCACAACTGAGCCCAACTTTCCTGCTGGTAAGTGAGACATTTGTGAAGTGAACGTTGCCCCATTTTACGGCCTTTCTTGCCACAGCTGTTAAGTGAAATGCTGCAGTTGTTAAGACAGGAACACGATTACTGGCTTCTCCATGGACATGGAGATCATCCGAGTCATCCGAGTTTCATCAGAAGGTTCACAAAAGGTGATCCCACAACCGCAGGGTACTGCAACTGCCATAAATATGAGCCAGTCGCAAAGCAGCTGAATTTTGATCACACAAGCATGAGGATGCTACAATGGTTGTAAGTGTGAAAAACGGTCATAAGTCACTTTTTTCAGTGCCGTTGTAACTTTGAATGGTCACTAAACCAATTGTTGTAAGTCGAGGATTATCTGTGCAGTTTGTTGGGACTGTTTGTTTTATTCTTGGTAGTTGATATAACAACAGCCTAATCAAGGGACTAACCATGGCAAATTATGTATCAATTAAAGCTTGAGTTATTTTTTTAATTCAAATAGGTAAATCCTTGATACAAAAATTTTCTATTCTGAGAAAAGAGGGGAAAAAGAAACAAACTGAAAAAGACTTAAAAAGGCTCTTACCTTATAACAAAGGTAGAGCAGTATGAGGACTGGTGTTATATATCTAATCACAGACACCTATAAGGAGAAAGGCACAATTTTATGTACTGAAAGGAAAAAAATAATCCTGTTTAGACCAAACTCATAAGAAATTTATCACACAAATTGCGCATACTTTGAAGTCACAGAATGACTTTCTTTGACAGTGTTTCTATTAAGAATATTCAGCGTAGACTCTGTATTAGATTTCTATGAATTGTACTGAATTTTATCGTGCTGCATCTAAGCAAATCATGCGCACCTAGCATTTTTTATGAAAATCTTTACATTGTTTTATGCTTTTCATAGCTTCTACAACATCACCATCTAGTGGACTTAAATAGCATTCATTTTCAAAAGAAGCGTGTTTCCAAATGCATTCTAAATACAGTACTAGGAATATGTCAATATTTTATTCCGACATTTTGAGCTCTAAACATTGTAAAACATTCTACTTTCAATGCAAATGGCTATTTGAAGCAGAAAACTGACATTTTGAACAGTGCTGGAAGCTTTTGAAAATGCAGTAAAATAGCTGTTTGTGTTGAGAGCTGAAATTTTGCACGGGAAACAGGACATTTTGAGCTTTGAGCTCGAAAGAGTCAGACACAAAATATTGCACAACCCCTACCAAATAACTAATTAAATTGTACTCAATCTGTTTTCATCCACCATATCGCAAATCTGTTTAGGCCATGAAAACTAAACCAGAATTTTATTCATTATCGAAATGAGAAGATCAAAATGTAATGATTGAAATTCCTACTCCAGAGGGGAGTAATTTGAATTTTGAGTTCTTAATCACTTATTAAATTTTGCTGTTATCTTTAAATGTACCAATCTTTTTTTAATGCTTGTTTCTTGATTGTATGCCATCCAGTGTTTCAACTTTGAAGTTGGGTTTCCATACAGGTAGTTCTCAACTTCCAACTACAATTGAAGCCAGAATTTTGGTCATAAGTTGTTATGATTGTAAGTTGAGTTACATATACTCGGACTCAATTTTATGACACTTTTTACAATGTCCTTAAGTGAACCACTGCAGTTAAGTGAATGATGGGGTCAGAAGTCCGAATCCATTCTATCCAACGGGTGATATATTTTTTTGCTTGAAAATGGGGGAGGGGACATTGCAAAATGTGATCATGTGACCGTGGGATGGTGCAAATGGTCATAAATGTGAGCCTGTTGCTAAGTAACCAAAATGTGGCCATGTGACCACAGAGGGTGCTACAACAGTCATAACTTTGGTGGTGAGTTGTAAGCAACTTTTTTCAAGTCTGTCGAAACTTTAACTGGTTGTTAAATGAACGGTTTTAAATCAAGGACTATTTGTATAATTTGTTACATAACTAAAGAAATAAAAGATCTCTAACCCGTTTGGGTGTGTAATGATGAATGCATTTCAGAACCAGTCCCCAGATGTCACCACTGCACAGGCCAGAAGCTGCAAACATACAGACATGAGAAGTCCAGAGATATTTCATCCTGCAAGAAAAAGGAAAATTAAAGAAAAAGAAACCGTATCTACTATCTGTTCACCCCCTGAAAGTGAAACATAGCTCTTATATTTTTTAATTAATAATTTTTATTAAACTTATCAAAATATAAAATGCAAAAGAAAGTGAAAATAGTCGGGAAATGGGAGGGTAGAAAGGGAAGAGAAAGAAATATAGGGGAAAAGGAAAAAACGAAAAGAAAAGCATTGACTTCCAATTCTTTTTAGTGCAGTAGAATATCATAACATTACAGCCTCAATATTTTACTTTTACATACATATTTCTATAGCCACAAATTTATCTAATCAGCAAAACCCAAAGCCATTGTTTCATTTTTTTTTTCATCTCAAGCACAAAATCCAGAAATGGTTTCCAAGTAGAAAGTAACCATGAAACTATTTAAAAGCAGCTTTCCAGGCAGCTAATACAGCAACAACTGACTGCTCATCAGGAAAAACTATAAATGAACAGCCTTTAATCTGTCAGAGGTTTTATAGAAGGACAATGCCGTGGGTTTATGCAAAGGGAGACCAGCATCCATCTGATTGGTTCTTTGTTTCTTCTTAATGGACTGTTTTTTTGTGGTTTTTCACGATAGATGCACGAGATAAAACGTACCTCATGGTGCTTATGGCCAGGAGCCCGAAGGAAATGGTGTGCATCAAGTGGTAAGCCACGGCAGGTTTGAACACGGTGGTAGATGTGGGTTGTTTTTCCACAGATTTGATGCTGGCACGACCACTGAGCAAATGAAGGAGGAGGAAAGATATATAACTGTGCCTAGCAAGGAGGACGACTTTAAAGTTCTTTTTAAAAGGACATTTGTAGGCAGCGCAAAGCATCCTCTTACTTATTCTTTATTCAGACCATAAAGCATTTTAATGCAACTGTAAGGGATTCTATGGGTTGAATGTGTTAAATGTTCCCCTGTGTGGACTTTTACACTTTTACACAATACAACACAAGGGTCAAATATACAGAAGCATCGCTTTTTTAAAATTTGCAGGTGATAATTTTGCAGACAATGGGGGTGGTATGTGCAGCTGTGTAAATAAATATTTCCCTGATCAGTTTCTTTGAAAATTAGGTAGGTGGGGAGGGAATGGAGATTTTGCAGTATCTTTCCCTGCCATGCCCACCAAGCCACGCCACGCCCACCAGAACTGGTAGTAAAAATTTTTTGAATCCCACCACTGGTGGGGAGGGAAAATTAAGTCCAGTAATTTTGAAACAATGCTTCAGAGATGCATATCCAATCAATGGCATATACATGCTGCCAAATTCTCTTAAACCTGGTCGCGCTCTTAATGGTGGGGGAGGAACCCTCACAACCAGAACAAAGCTCGACCATTCAGAAACAGACCTACCTGAGGTTTTGAAAAGAGACAACAGCAGCTGTTGTGGCCGTGATCAACAGGACAAATAAGTAAGCGTAAAAAACTAGTGTATCTGAAAGTCTTGCGAAAGTATTAAAAGGCAAAAGACCGAAAGCTTCTTCACACAAGTACAGGTTAGCATCAAAATCTCTAAAGAAATAAGAAGAAATACGGTGACAAAGTCTGTGATTTAAGGTATTCATTTATGAGAACTATCTCCTCTACCCTGAAACGTGGAAAGATCTTCCTTCTAAGCAAATGCTTTAGGAAAACAATTATTGCTGTACCTTGTTGCTCCGAATCCGAATTTTGCTTTCAGAAATTTGAAGATGTGCTCATCCGATTCCAGATTTAAAATTCTCTATGGGGAAAGGAAAAACGTACAGCATTTATATTCTCTGGAAAGGACTGTACAATTTAGTCCCTTCCTGCCAATCTTTCTATTCTCATGACAGAAATTACTTGAATATTCTTTAAATCAGTGCAATAATTCATACGATTCAAATCTACAATAAAAGTACTCTAAAATTAAAGGAGGAGAGGAGAAGATTTTCCTTTCCCTGAAGATTTCTGTGAACCCAAAAAACCGGTCCAGAAGTTTGGAGGAACCACCAGAAGATAAATTAGAGATGTGGAGCTGAAGAAGACTGAAGTTTTCTTCTACATAAATAGATATAGTCCTCTAACATTTAATCCCTAAGGCTTAATTATCCCATATTCATCTTAAAATGATGCTCTATAGATGGAGGGGGGAAAAAACCCACCTTAATAAAATTATTTACAAGGAATGTCAAGCACAGCACTAAAAGCACATGGAGGAGAAGTTTCCCAATTCTGCTTAACAAGCCGCCGGTTTTCAAGTTATTCTGGAAAAGGCAAGCAGTTAACAGTACTTAAAATGCATCTACAACAACACAAATTACATTTGTTTGGTATTTCTGGATTATTAATTAAATAATGTTAATTAATGAAAAGTTTTATTGTTGTATTAACCACTTATTGCTATCCAACAAAGGCCATTTTCAGCTTCAGACAAGTAATCTTCGACATAGCCAATTTTTTAGCAACGGTTCAAAAAGATAGATTTGAGCTCTAATTAAAATAGTGAGCCACAAGGACAGAGAGGAAAAAGGGGAAGAAATGAGGTGTAAATAATATTTATTTGTGCTTGCTGTCTACCATTTATAATGGTACAAAACAGATGAAAGAGCAGGTAAACAACAGCTTTTATGCTTTCGTAGCTAGTTATTTTGGCAAAGCAAAAATGGAATACGTACCTGAAGTTTCCTCGCTAACAAGGCTGACATATTAAAGCTTACAAGCAATGATCCAATTATCATGGAATTAAAGAACTGTAAGGTGTAAACCATCAGCAGACTGGCCACCTGTATGATATAGAGCCATACAACCTGCAAAAAGGATTAAGAAATGATGCCAGTCACAGCTTCTATTTTTTGGTATTAATGCTTGGATGAGAGAGACTAAATTTACATGATTCATTTTTGCTTTACACCTAACCCAATTTAAATTCATTATTTTTTAATAACCCCACTGCATTCAGGTGATATATTGTGCAGAGCAGGATAGTATCAAACACAGCCAGTTGTGTGAGTCTCTTATTATTTCAACATGACTTCAGTCTGCCCCAATGAGTGCTCCATCCAATAATTAACTTACTTTTCCTTCAGGAATCATGTCAAGGCAGTCGAGGGTGAACAAAGCCATTGCTTGGATCAACAGAATGAACTGATTAAATTGCCAAGTCAAACTTAAGAGGAAGGTTGCAATAAACACGGCTAGAAGTGTCAACCTCTGTAAGAGGGAAGAAGAAAAACAACTGAATGAAAAAGAAGACGGGAAGGCTGAGTCAACCTTGAGTCAGTCAGAATCAAACTCCTGGCTTTGGGCAGAGTCAGCCTGCAATAGTGCATTTTAACCCCTACGCCACCATGGCAATAGAATAGAATAGCAATAGCACTTACACTTATATACCACTATACAGAACTTTACAGCCCTCTCTAGGCAGTTTACAGAGTCAGTATATTGCCCCCAACAATCTGGATCCTCATTTTATTGACCTCAGAAGGCTGGAAGGCTGAGTCAACCTTGAGCCAATGAGAATTGAACTTCTGGCATCATCAGTTATGACATGTGAAGGACGATACATAGGGACTTCCTAATCCCCTTGAATGCAGTGGTTGAACCAATCTATGGATGCATTTTGTCCTGACATTAGATGCTAAGCTCTTTTTGGCAAATGCTAGGTATAGTATATAAAGTTTATGGTCTTTGTAGGATGAATTCAATCGATGATGTGATATGGGTTTGTTTTGATACCGTTGCCAATATTTCTTTAGCTGTAGCCAAATAGTTTAGCATGACATTTTCTCAGGAAAACCTTTCTGACAAGGAAAGAGAGACTTACTTCGTGAGCAGATCGCAAATGTGGTCTGAAAAGGACCGTAATTGCAGCGAGCTGGACGGCAAAGAATGGCAGTGCCCAGTTTTCTCTTAGCGGGATGGTGAATTCCACCCGGGTGGTATCTACTCTGTGGAAATCAAAATCAACTGTTAGTTCTAAGCTAAGATGGGGAAACTTCTCAGTGAGGGGGAAATTAAAACACACTTGGAATATTCTTTGCCTACTGTGAAATATGGCAAAAAGTTTACAGGCTAATCAGACAAATGTTTAAAAGGTGTTTTTTTAAAAAATGGTCTGGTTTCTAACAGTGAGGAGTATGGTGAAATTGTGGAATTTCTGGTCCAGATTTAACTTTTGTTTTTGCGTTCGAGTGAGTGAGAAGCCTTTTTTCCCCTCTCCCAGAGCCTCTGCGCGGACCCTGCATTTACCTCCACCGAAAATGGGCCGCGTGGAGATTCCTGGGAGAGAAGGGGATAGCTGGTCGGTTGAAATACCGGTTCGGCGAACCAGCTGTAACTTTAACATCTGGTTCGCCTGAACCGGTCCGAACCAGTAGAATACCACCCCTGCCTACCTGGGTTTACCTCAAGGTAGCTCTCCTAATATGAACATTCTGATCTTCTCAGGTAAAATTTTCCCCAGGGGAAAAAAAATCATTATGATAGGAGAAAACAACCTCACCTGTTGACGATATACCAGACAGCAGCTAATACACCCGAAAGCCATGTTCCGCTAAGAAGCCAGCTAGTTGCATATAAGGCAAGAACACACACAGCTTGAAGGCTGAACAGTGTATAGATGTAAAAATAAACAGGTTCTAAAAATCTCTGCAAAAGAAGGATAAATCAAGTAGTGAAGTGGTCATAATTTCTTTCAGCATGATGTCAACTGTTTGTATCCCAAATTTTTTTTTTGTAAAACCCATCCTGCTTATTAGGAAGCCTTTTGAAACTTGAAATATGACTTAGGTTCAACTAAGACATCCTGTATTTCTTCAAATCTACTGTACTCTTGGGGGAAGAGGTTATCCACATTGAACTCAGTAAGATTACATCTAAGCAAAAATATTTTTATGTGTGTGTCTTAGAGTCCAATCTTGACTCTTGGGGACTATAAGGACCAATCTTTGCATTTTTGTAGGCAAGATTTTTAGATGATGTTTTGCCAGTCAAAATCTTCTTCATGTGGCTGGATAAAAATGATTGGGCCAAAGTCATGCAGCCGACTTCCATTCCCAAGGCAAGATTAAAATTTACGTTTCCCTACTCCAAATCCAGGACTTTAACCATTGTACCAAATATATCTTTGAGTCAGCCTTGATTCCTGACTACATGAACCTGAAATTTACTTGGCAAGGTTTCAAAATCTTGCTTGTATCCTTAGGATTTTTTATTGACTGTTCGCTAATGTGATTTGATTTGATTTGATCGCTTATTATTATGGTTCCTAGTATGATTTGACTGCTTATTTGTACCCTCTGACTACTATTAAGTGTTATACCTATGATTCTTGATGAATGTTTTTTTTTCTTTTTATGAACACTGAGAGTATTTGCACCAATCACACTTGGCCAATAAAGAATTCTATATATTCTATTCTATATAAAGATTTCAGAAGTGGTTTGCCCTTGTCTCCTTCGTAGGGCTGGCAGAGTGACTGGCCCAAGGTCACTCTGGCGGTTTTATATCTAAGGTGGAATTAGAGCTCCCAGTCTCCCAAAGTGGCTTTGAAATATGTTTCAGGCCCCATGTGTGTGTGTGTGTGTGTGTGTGTGTGTGTGTGTAAAACAGTGACATTAAATGTTACTGCATTTATGCAACAACCATAACCACATGGGTGACTTTTTTGAGTATTTGCCAGGGATTTTTCATTACAACTTACTTTCAAATGAAGCACTGTATATAGCATGCTGAGAAATACTTCTTGATAAACATTCATCCTTTCAAGTATATTAATTGTTCTCATTGATTCAGTTTTATTGTCATAGATCAAGCTGTGTAAACCTGCACAGTGAAAAGGAAGAGAAAATGTGACACCTCCACCTATAAAAACACATGAAAATGTTAAAGACTTCTGCTAAAGCAAAGCTACAAAGAAAGAAACTGAAATAATGTCATTCATTCATTCATTTTCTATAACTGCCCATCTCAACCAACTTTATCTTCTTTGTTTAGAGCATGGGGATCCATGCTTTTAGCTTGCTTGGGCCATACTGAGTGAAGAGCAATTGTCTTGAGCCTCATATAAAATATATAACAATAGTTTAATGTATATAAATAACAAGCGTCCTTTATTTTTTAAATATGTTTTATTATAATTTTGTGTGCCCACATTAATAGCTCTCCAGGGTGGCATACGGCCCAAGGGCCAGACATGTAAAGTCAATGGAGAAAGCCGAATTCGCGTAAAGACTGTATGGTTCACTTAACAACTGCAGTGACTCGCTTAAGAATCATGTCAAAAATGTTGTGATTTAACAACCGCATGGTTTAACAATGTAAATTCTAGTATCAATTGTGATCAAAAGTCAAGGATTACCTGTGGAAGGCAAAGCTGGATAATTGGGTTCTAAGCACACAACAGTTTTTATGTATTTGATGCAGAAAAATAACACTGAAACAGTAATTCTACCATACCTTGTTGAATTGATGGAGCCGCCAGCATCTGTTTGTAATAAGAGTAGTACAAACCGCATTCTGTTCTGAAAGAAATTTCCCGTTCTACTTCCTACAAAGAAGCAAATTGGTTGAGATGCAAGAAGAACCTTAAAGTATGAATCTATTAATTTTGCTTGACTTTGACCTGTTTAGTACCCTTGGGCAGGGTTCACATATCACAAAAAGGCCATGTTTAACTATGTTTTGTTGTACATCCTAAAATTAGTTCAATCCCCACTTTGGAAGGCTGTCTGACATATGCAAACGCTATACTAAAAACCAAAGCTGTCCCATTAAGTCTGACTGCAATGTTTCAACTTAGTCTTAAGTAGAATAGAGTTAGAGGAAGATGGAGAAGAATTTATGCAATACAACTTTTTAAACTTATGGGCTAAACCCACGCTTAATGACTTCAGGGCATCTATACTTTGCATGACTAGGTCGAGATGCAACCCTATACATTAAACAGGCAAAGTTATTTGTAATACTTATCTCATTTCTCAATACAGTTATTGAGGCCATATTATACAGGCCATAGATCACTAACTTTCCTAGCTCAAGCAGTGTGAAATTGAGGTTGAAAGATTAATCAAGATCATTTTGTGGTTTGATGACACAGCAAAGCTTTAAACTCTTCTTACTGACATTCACATATTCCTTGACAATTTTGTCCATTGATCAAAATACCAATTTCTAAAGGAATGCAAGGAACTATAAACCATGTTTTATTTCAGATAACCGGGATAGGAATTATAATCAAGAAAAAAAACCTTAATCTAGCATTGGTTTTTGAAAGTTACTTCCATGATTCAGTAATTCTTGTGATTTTATACTGACAAAGTCTTAACTGATGTGCCCTATGTATAAGAACAGAAGCGCTCCTGGGTGAAATGAAAATTTAAAATTGGTAGCTGGACTCTCTCTCTCTTTTTAATTCTTACACCTACATGGGGAAAAAAAAAACTCCAGAGAAGTTGGATAAATTACATCTGCTTAGAATAATCCACCAAAATCAATTAGTTTACTCTAATCTGGAATGAACCCAATGGAAATTTTATGGACGTCTTTTCCACGCTCTTTTGTCTTTTCTAAAGTCATTTGTATGTTACAGCCCTCATCCTGTCATTACATTCCATGTCTGATCCCAATTTGAATCGGATAGAGTCCTTCTATTTAAAATAATCTTGTCTTTTGCAACATGGGAAAGATGCTTTTATGCTGGTAAGCTTTTAATCTCCTGGGTTGCAAAGACTTAAGGGACTCTGCTTGTTTTAAAGCTGTTTTATCTGCTGTATTTGTCTGTTTTATTGTCTTGCTGACATTCAAGGCTTATCAGGTGGTTAGCCAGGATATCTAAGGGGGAGAGAAGGAAGAACTAATATCCAACATGATGACATCAGCCCACAACTGTCACAAATTATTTCAGCAAGTCACAATTGGCACAAAGGACATATTTCAGGCAAGTGCTGTGATGATGTGCCATTGTTAAGGTTTGTGGGGATACACATTTTCTACCACACGAAGAGCTGCAATATGTTTGCTTTAATGGCTGTAATGGTAGTCCAATCACAAAGGGCAGTGTTTCCCAAGCTTGGCAATTTTAAGAATGGTGGACTGAACTCACAACCAAAAAAATCAATTCCAGATGGTAGAGTATGGACCTCAACTCCCAGAATTCCCCAGCCAACCAGCTCCATCAATTCCAGATGACAGATCTCACCATCTTTGGAAGCACTTTCAATTGTTTGTATCAGACTATTTTACCCTAAATTCAATCAGCCACAAAGCTTGTAGGTTAATACTACTGATGTCTCCACATTTGTTATGCATTTGGAAAAAAATTATATATAATGTACAATATCATCTAACATATTTTTGAAACATTCTGGGTTTAATGGGGGAGGGGGGAAGGAAGATTGATCATAGAGAGGGATCCAATTAGCAAGAATGCATCAAACATAATTAATTTGTAAGCTGGGCACCAGCTGTATTCTACCAAATGCCACACTTTATGAGGTAAACATTACTGTTTTACATCTGTTTTATACTAAGCTAACATCTGTTTTCCTTATTTGCCAGTTCTGTAACAAGTTCTACTCTTTTCTAGACTTTCATCAATTGTGGCCAGAGCATAACAATTTAATAGTAAAATCCATTCAGCCACATTAACATTAGTTAAGTAAACAAAGTAGTTCTTCCTTACTAGCAACACTAATATTAATAGAAGATATATATTTTATAAATATCAATATGTAAAATGTGGACATAGTTTATTCAAATGCTTGTGTTGCTGCTAATTATTGCTGGGCCTCAGAGTCTTGTGATTGAATCAGGTCTAATTGGATAATTAATAAATAAGATTAATACGAGATTTCTATTGTTATCCTACATTGTAGAAAGAGTGTTGTGTTCAAATTGCTGAGTTACTGAAATAATTATCACTTTTTTGAGGGGAAGATTTTCGATCACTTGGGGGCCCTGATTTATCCCACAAGGACGAACAAAAAAGATTGAATTGAATTTGCTGTGACATGTGACAAAAAAATAGACAACTGGGCAGCTTCCTGGTGTACAAAATGTTCAACACATAGCACTAAGTATATTGATTATATTCTATGCAAACACTTTTATGATGAAGAACAGTAAAATAGGAACAGACCAAAACTTTCAGAATGCAACAGCAATGGTTACCTTGATATTTGAAAACCACAGATCATTTTCATGGAGCGTGGAGATGTAAACAGATGTGAGTATTCCCAAGAAAAGGCCCACAATTCCACCAATGACAAGTGAAACCTTCTTCCATTGTTTTGCACCTAGTTAAAAGTTTGAATTTAAATGATTTGAAACGAAGTCAGTCATCTTCTCCAGTTACTGTCCATGTTCTATCCATAAATCTGTGTAGTTTTAATGCTTTAATATATATATATATTGTTTATTTTATAACTTGTAGGTTTCCCAGAGTCAACTTATAGGGGAGACAGGTGGCATAAAAAATTAATAAGAAATAAATAAGAAATAAACAAATAATATTGATTTATCATATACATGTAGACCATTTTATTTCTTTCCAACACAGCACAGAAAATGGAAACCACTAACAAAACCTGTACTAAAACTACTGAGTTCAGCTAAAGACTGGTTGTTTTCTCCTGACAGGGGAGTATAGGTAAATCCTTGACTTACACCATAATCTTACACCCTAATCCCGTGATGGTGAATCTATGGCATGCGTGCTACAGGTGGCATGCAGAGCCATTTGTGCGGGCACACGAGCCCCAGCCAAACTTACCTGCACTGCGCATGCGTGCGACTCCCAGCTGATTTTCGGCCTACTTGACGCCATTTTCGCCCTTCTGAAGGCTCGAGGGAAGCCTCTGGAATCCCAGGAGGCTGAAAAATGGGCCTTCCGGAAATACCGGAAGTGCCAAAACGAGTCCGTTTTCAGCCTCCCAAGGCTCCAGAGGCTTCCCTCGAGCCTCCAGGAGAGCGAAAACAGCCTGCCCTGGGCTGCAGAGGCCCTCCGGAAGCTGAAAACGGGCACTTCCGGTATTTCCGGAAGGCCTGTTTTTCGGCCTCCCAGGACTGCAGAGGCTTCCCTCGAGCCTCCGGGAGGGTGAAAACGGTCTCAAACGGGCCAAAAATCAGCGGGGAGGCATGCGCATGTGCAGTGCAGGTAAGGGATCAGGAAGGGGGTATTGCATATACATGCGTGGGGTGCGGGGTGCATTGCATTGTGGGTGCTGGCGTGCATGCGCTTTCGGCACACCACAACAAAAAGGGTTGCCATCACTGCCCACTATAGTATTAAGTCAGGGTGGTCATAAAGCAGGTCATCCAAGGGACCGACACAATTTTATGCACTGTTTTGCAGTGGTCCATCATAACTTCGAATAGCCAGTAAGTGATTGGTCGTAAGTCAAGGATCACCTGTACTGCATAAGAGAGGCCAACTGAAATCAGAAATGTTCTTTGCAAAACCAGATCAAAGAGATCTTCATTTAGGTGGTAATTCTGGTGCTCTCTGAGCTTTATTGTTGGCTTAATGTAACAGAATACTGAAAAAAAGAATAACTAATTGCTATTTCTGCATGGAATAATTCATTTTTTGTTTGCATGTTGTTCAAAAATAAGGAGCCGTATAGTGGCACAGTCGTTAGAATTCAATATCGCAGGCTGACTCTGCCCACTGCAGAGTTTGCTTCCTATCTCGCTGTGGGGCTTACAATAATGAAAAGGAAAGGAAAACAGTGCAAACAGAACAGAAATAAAATAATGGAGCAATAAAATAATAACGAAGGAGCACAACAAGAATAATACATTTATACAGGGTATCCCAAAAGCTTCGGTACAATTTTAAATTTTAAAACTGTATCGAGACTTTTGGGACACCCTGAATGCTTTTTCTAAGTTAATTTTCTTTAAAAACCCCCACCTTCATTAAGTTTCAAATAAAGGCAAGATGCAAAGCAACAACACACCAAAAAAAAAGGCAAAAATTAAAAAGGAGAGGAGATCAAAGGGGAAAACTGTTAAAAAGTGACCAAAAAATTGTTCTAATTTTTCTTTCACACAATTGTGACTTACCAGCTACGCTCTTCTCGTTAAGTTTCCAGTTTTTCTCCTGTGACAGACAATCTTGTGGAACATTGGTACTTTTTATTCCTCTTCTCTGTCTAACACTTGTCATGATGTCAGTAACATTCACACATTATACTTTATCTGGTTCCTATATGCATATTTACAAACACAAAGTACTAAAGGTGTTAATTAAACATCCACTTAACAATCAATCAATCCTTCTTTTCCTCCTCCCTCCTCTTTAAAATGTATACTAGGAAGTAAAGATTCACACTACACAGAGAATGGCAGGCTTTGAACATTAACGCTGCAGAAATATTTTTTTTTTCTTGCAGAGCAATTAATCATCTTCTTGGCTTACTCCTGTCACAAATAAATTAGAGAAACAAACACGATTATCAAACACATTAGTTCATTTGAGATTTCAGATCTGTCATCCAGGGCACAAAGAAGATAGAATAAAAGCAAAATATCTTGATTCTTTCTTTCTTTCTTTCTTTCTTTCTTTCTTTCTTTCTTTCTTTCTTTCTTTCTTTCTTTCTTTCTTTCTTTCTTTCTTTCTTTCTTTCTTTCTTTCTTTCTTCCTTCCTTCCTTCCTTCCTTCCTTCCTTCCTTCCTTCCTTCCTTTCTTTCTTTCTTTCTTTTCTTTCGGCTTGGTACAATACAGGTAGTTCTCAACTTACAACAGTTCATTTAGTGACTGTTCAAAGTTACAACGGCACTGAAAAAATGTGACTTATGACCATTTCTCACAGTTACAACCTTTGCAGCATCCCCAGGATCATATGATCAAAATTCAGATGCTTGGCAACTAGTTCATACTTACGACCGTTGCTGTGTCCCAAGGTCATGTGATCAACCACCTTTTGCAACCTTTTGACTTTTCACTTAACAACCGGGTTACTAACTCATCAGCTGCAGTGATTCACTTAACAACTGAGGCAAGAAAAGTAAAATGGGGCAAAATTCACTCAACGTCTCACTTCAAAACAGAAATTTGGGACTCAAATGTGGGCGTAAGTGGAGGACTACCAGTAGTAGGATCCATAATTATAGAAATGTGTAAATTCCTACTATTTGGAATTTTATCTTGATATACAAGCCCTCTTCTGCTGAAAGAATATTTTAGTTTTGTAGTAACTAAAATGTTTTTTTAGCAGAAAAGGGCTAAATATATCAAGATAAACTTCCAAATGGGATCTTCATTTCTATGAAGACTTTTCAATACCAAGTTACCAGAAGGCAGTGAGAAGTCAAGTATGGAAATAAAATAATTATTTCCTGCGTGACGTTATTTTAAAAGGAGGGATAATAACAGTCTAAAGTTCTATAACCACATGACTATGGCTTGTGCAGTTTTGGTTAGTTCCCAGCATTTTTGCTACATTTTCAGCATGTTTTCAATTAAAAAAAACAAAAAACCATTTGGGAAAATTGATTTGTTTAACGACTGCATGATTCACTTAATGATAGAGTGATTGGGATCTACGATCACATGATTCTCGTAACAACCGCCATAAAAACGGTAGAAAAATTGGTTCCGGTCATGTGAGTGCCTGAGCTTATGACTGCAATGATTAACAAACGATGTTCCTGGCAAAATACATGTCAACTCATAAAATATTTCTATGGTCTTTTTAGAGTTGCCAACAGAAAGGGTGGGGGGAGCAGTGCAACAGCTTGCAAAACTGAAACTGCATTCCATAAATGTTTTCAAAGATAGTAACTAGGTGACTGAAGTTTCTGTCGGGCAAAATTCTAACTGGAGAGCATGATTGATGACTTTTGCCTATGGATGTGTCCCATTGGAGAATATGAATTATGATATACCCAGGGGGTGGGGAGAAAACCAGGATCAAGGGTGACAATGAATTATATGTCTCAGAGTCGGCTACACCCAGGCAGTGCCAGCATGTTAACTCCCAATAAATCCGTATTGAGCGTGCATGCTTTTTGAGCCTCCCTTATCTAGGTTTCCTGGAAAAATACATAGGAAAATCCCATTGGATTAAAACCAACCTTCCAAAAATACTGCCAAAAGTACAGTATTCTGTTCTCCTGGCAGGACCCCAAAATGGAGAAAACTTACTTTAGGTTAGTCACGCTCTCTCTCTCTCTGCTCAGTCTATTACAGAAGAGTTGCTTTAAAGAGCAGAATATGCTTCAGCACTGCAGGTAGCAGCTTAACTGGCTGGTTTATAAAAATCTGATCACAGCTGATCGATCCGTGGGCCAAATTGGGAAGTTTTAAAAACCATCATAGGCGAAAGCAGTGACAAACAGCTGCTGCACTTTTTTCCAGACAATCCACAGGACGTGACCATAGAGTGCCGAGGTTCTAAGTTCAACTCAATGTTTAAACAAGCAGCGTGCAATAGAAAGAAAGAAGGAAGTGCTGTTTTATCTATTATTGGTTGATGGAAAGAAATTTCTATTCTGGGCTTCCTCTGTCAAAGGAGCATTCAGAGCACAAGATTAATGTGCATTTTGCCAGGCAGAAGAGGGATTTTAATTACTGAAACTGCTACATAATGCTACCAATGTCATGGAACTCTTAGATCAGTGTTTTTTTAACCTGGACAACTTTAAGATGTGTGGACTTCAACTCCAAGAATTCCCTAGCCAGTATCGAAACCCTTAGATCAGTGTTTTTTTAAACTGGACAGCTTTAAGATGTGTGGACTTTATGCTAGCTAGGGAACTCTGAGTCTTGAAGTCCACACATCTTAAAAGTTGTCCAGGTTGAAAAACACTGCAATCTCTTTGCAAAATAAATAATTGTGGCGTCTTCCTTGTTGCTTATTCAGAAAGGAGGTGCCAGGAAGGGGAAAAGACGGGGGATAAGGGAGAGAATGAGCACCCTATCATGGCTTCTCCAAACTCAAAGCTCTGCTTCTTCAGTCTTTCCCACGGGAACAGATTCTCCAAGAAGCTCCGTTACGATAACGCACTATCAGTACAAAATTGCCTGTCTCGTTAGATTAAGTTAGGGTTAAACCCAACTGAATTACTTCTGAACAGACACATCTGGGATGACACCAAATCTAGGCATATTTATTTAGAAGTAAACGTTGCCAAATTCACAAAATTGAATCCAGCTCAAGAGGGCAGAGATTATTGCTACGTAAGGCAAAAAGCAAGCTGGAACCAACTTTTGAATCAACAGTTGAATTTTTCAGCCTTTAACTTACCTATCAATGAACTGGTAAGGAAACCGACTAGTTAGTAAAATACATATGCACCATGACAATTCAATCATAATCCATCTTAAAGCAATAACTACATTCAGACAACCTCCCAGTCCACAATTAACCTAAGGGCAGCAATTTTAGCCTAATCTTTGAGGCTTACACAGGTTCTGAAAATAATCGGAGGCTGGATCTGTACACAACTAAAACGTGCTGGATTTCTTTGTGGTTAAATTTTTCATGCGAGTTCAGCCTATCTGGGTGTTTTCCAAGGATATGACATTTGGCAGGAAAAGGGAAAGAGAGGAGCTGACTGCCTATTCTGAGACTATATAACATTATAAATTGGAGAACGAATGGAAGGAAGGAAGGAAGGAAGGAAGGAAGGAAGGAAGGAAGGAAGGAAGGAAGGAAGGAAGGAAGGAAGGAAAGGAGAGAAAGTATTCACCTGTATTGATTTTTAATTAAATATTTTTCCATACCAGCCTGTTCCAAAATGATTTCAGGAGATTTAGAGTAAAAAAAAAGAGCAATTCTAGGGCCTATTCTAGTTTTCTCCAGCCAAGCTGAGGATGATGGCGTTGTCTGTCATCCAGAAGAGAGGACACCTGATTGCAGCTGGGTAATGTAGAATAAATCTCTGCAATCCAGGTGCGTCTTCCAGAGATGCTGGACCACATTTCCCATCATCCAATTGGCAGAGAGACCATAATGGCAGAAATGTTGCTGGTCCAATGGGAAAATCCCAGGTAGGAAAACAGACTGTGTCTTTAAAATTCTTAGATGGATTTAAGCCGCGACTGGGAAAGTTTCTTTTTTTTAAAAAAGATGGAAACGCAAAAGGCAAAAAGAAAGGGAATTTAATGCCATGTGTACATTTAAAAAGTATAGTTATGTTTTTTTAAAAGAAAAGGTGGGAAGGGAGAAAAAGACCTAGAAACGATCCACTTTATATCCTATTTTTATGTAGGTAGGTCTTCTGCGGATATATACATATTGTACATAATATAACTGGTGCTTATCAATATTAGACCATACGGATTGCTTTTATGGTCAGATTTCTTTGTCCTGTTATTTTTTTCTAAGAAGGCCTACATTTGATATACACATATTTCTAGATAAAATTAAAATAAATTCTTTGAAAACGAAGGACTATATTTACAAAAAAATAAAAGGAAAGAAGAGGGGAATTAAAGGTAAATAAAGGTGGCAGGGTTCTAAATTTATAGAGAAGAATCCCAAGGTTGTGTTACGAACCTGGTTGGCATAAAAAGGGCACCATGGCGAAATGAAACCAGGGTTAATGGAATCCACTGAGGGGTTCAGGTCTGCCCAGGTGCCTGAACCCCCTAAACTGCCCCCACACAGGGCCCAGTTCCCACGACCTACTGAGCTCCCAAGCCAAGAAAGACCCTTCTTCTTTCTTGCAGCCCAATTCGTGCCAACCCATCTCGAAGATGTCCCTGGAGCGATGGTCATGAAAGGGGGGCGGGGTGGGGTGTGTGTGTGTGTGTGTACACGTGTGAATGCAAACACAGACCGAGAGGTTTTGTGTGTGTGTGCGTGCGCAATGCCTGCGTGCATGAGGCTGGCTCGGCGCAAAGGGGCAGATCCGGATCTACGCGGACCAATTGCGGTCGTTCTTGGGGGAGGGGAGCCCCAGGAGACCCCCCCGAAGGCTCCGATCCCGAAGAGCATCCCTACACGTGTGTTTTCCACGCACAGCTGCGAGGGCGGCGGGGCAGCATCCGCGAACCAAGGCCCGGCCCAGCCGCTTCTCGGGCCCCTCCCGCAGCCGGCCTACCCCGGACCCGCCGCCGCCCCGCCGCCTTGCCCGCCCGGGGAGCCTGGGAGCGGCGGGATCCACCTACCTGCCGGCGGCGGCGCAAGGCTTGGCGGCGTTCCGGGAAAGGCGGCCTCGGCTGGTTGGGCGCCGGAGGAAGGGAGGCGGGCGGGCGGGCGGGAGCGCAGCCGGGGCGAAAGGAGGAGCCAGCCGGGCTGGGCTCGGCATGGACGGGAGGGGACGCAAAGAAGGGGCCGGTGCAACAGGCGGGCGCTTAAAGGGGTCCGCAAATCGCGCATCCGCGTGGATAAGGCGCTGCCCCCCCCCCCCCCGCGCAGGAACGAGCCCCCCCCCCCCCAGACGAGCCACGGCTTGCGCGCATCCTCGCTGCTTTTCTTGCCCTCCGCCTCTGCGGGCACAGTTGAGCCCCAAATTCCCGTTGTTAAGCGAGACGGTTGTTAACCGAGACGGTTGTTAAGTGACACCGTTGAGTTTTTGCCACCCTTTCGCCACCTTCCTGGCCGCGGTTGTTAAGTGAATCGGGCTTCCCCATTGACTTGGCTTGCCAGGAGGTTGCAGAAGGGGAACCCGTGACCCCGGGGGACACTGCAACCTGTCATAAATGTGAGTCGGTTGCCCAGCGTCTGAATTAGGAGCTCGCGACCCATTGGGGATGCTGCGATGGTTGCAAGTGTGAAAAACGGACCTAAGGCACTTTTTTTCCTGGTGCCGTTTGTAACTTGGAACCGGGCACTAAATGAACGGTTGTAAGTCCTGAGGATGACCTGGTGCAGCAGATTCGTGGTGGTCTCCCGTCCAGATGTTAAGCAAATCCAACTCATTGCTTTTTTGCATTTGCGCTCTCAAGATTATTTAGATGCTACCTTCCCTGTCTTTCCTTCAACCATGTCCAATTTTTGGACGGAGTTTGGTCTCTTGGCAAGGCTTTCAGAAGCGGTTGGCCATTGCCTCTTTCCCAGAGCTGAGAGAAAGTAACTGGCCCACGGTCACCCTGCTGTCTTTGTGCCTAAAGCAGGTCTAGAACTCACAAACCTCCCGGTTTTTAGCCTGATACCTTCACCATTGCATCAAACAGGCTCTTAGCTGAATGTCTGGAGATTCTCAGTCATCCAGTTCATGGTTGTCCCAAAGGTGCTTTTTCCAAGAGGCGACTGGACTTTCTGGATTTACTTTGAAGACATTTCGCTTCTCATTCAAGAAGCTTCTTCCACTCTGACTGAGTGGTCAAAATCCTTCCATTCCCCATCATCGGAGAGGAAGAAGCTTCTTGGATGAGTAGCGAAATGTCTTCAAAGAAAAACAAGAAAGTCCAGTTGCCTCTTGGGAAAAAGCTCCTTTGGGAGTATCTCTTAGCTGGGCACGCCAACAAGAACCCAGAGCCATATTCGAACTACTGGGCAAGCTCTTTCTTTAGGCAGCTGTCCAAAGGCCCACCCCAGACAAACATCCTAGTCTGGATTAAGCCTGATCTGTGAACCCAGTTCCCCTGGAACTGTCATTAACCGGTATTAAACATGTGGTTCACTTTAGGGTTAGAGTGTCACATTAGATGAACCCACGTAGTTATGGGTTTGTGGAACAAAGTGTGATTCAGCCATGGGTTGGCATGGTCTTCCCATGTTGAGTTGAATTGCTAGAGTTCATAATTTCTCAAAGGAAGTAGAACCGTTGTAAGGTTTCCTTGTGCAACTTGGCTCCAGATGTACAACTGACAGATGGTAGATCCGGTTTCCTTTGTACTGTTAATCTTCTGTGACCAATTCACTTTTCTTTGTGGAATGCCTTTCAGGTTGCAAGAGCTGGGGAAGGTTTCCGTGTAAAACAAAACAAAATCATCATCTACTTTTGCTCTTAAGAGATTAACAAGATTGCCGGCTATGAATTAAAAACAAAAAACAAAAAACAACACAACATAAAAATGAGAGTTTCACCACTTTGCTTTCTTTGCTTTTTCCGGTGGTTCATCTCACAGTAAATCAAGAGCCTGCTACCAATGTAATCAACAAAGGAGTTTATTACCAAAATACAATTAGTCAATACATGACAAAACTTCTGTAAAAGTAAAATAAATTATCCTAACTGTTGTTCAGTATCTTGTAAGGTAGTCAAAAGTAGCTCTATACAAAGCCTGCTTCCGTCGTTTCTAAACAAGACAATTCTAAAGAGAGCTTAAGGCATGCAGTTTAATGTGCGGATCTTACAAAATAAGCCATCCTATCAGTAAGAAACAATAAGAGAGAGAGAGGGAAAAAAAAAAAGAACAACAACAACAACAAGGTCTGTGGTCTTTTACGTGTCAGTTTTCTATACGTTTTATACTTTGGCTATAAAAAGCAGTGCCGTCATATTACAATTCTTTTTCTTACAAAAATATAAATGTATCCATGCTCATGAATATCAACTGCAAAAGTCTATTAAATATATTTTTAACATTACTTTGAGCACCGACTGTACATTTTATTCATTTATTTAGTGATTAAATAAGAGCTTTAAAATTCAGAAACTGGCAGTTACTTCACTTGTCTCTCAAGGGAAAGGCGCCGTGTGAAGCTGTAAAATTGCCTCTCTGGGCCAAGCTGCTAATGCCATACTTAATTGTGGAAGCAGGGCCCTGTTTAGTATAATATTCTGTTTTCCAGCGAAGTATATTTAATGCAATCGTATGGAATGAGCTCAGACTGAAGGTTTTAGTCTACTCAGACAGGAGAGCAAAGAGGCACTGGTGCTTCCTGTATCCTAGATGTCTGGTTTATTTTCGCATCCACTAAGATTCAAGCCATGTTTGCATAATATCTGCATATATATAAAGACCAAACCATCTACAGGCTAGCATTTCCTAGGGGGAAAAAAATGCCAATCCAGGCTTGCTTTTTAAGGGGGAGGGTAGGTTTATATGTGCCTTACTCTACATACTATTTGTCGTGCACAAATATCCAGTGAGTGCAAATGTGATTTCAACCACTTCTAATATTCTTCTACTCTGTTCTTGGCAGAGTTTTACAACTGGGTGATTCAGTTGATTAACTCAAATAAGGAAGCATGCTGGTTTTTTTTTTTAGCATAGCATGTATTCAATACAATTCCTTGGATACAACTGGAGGCTATTACAGAGTAAGGCTCTCTTAACTCTTCTCCATAAATTCTTTTCCCTAACAAGAGTATATAAATACCCGCAGCTTGAAGTATAAATGGGAAGTTTATCTGTAAGAACTAGAAACTAAAGCCTACTTTTTAATTCAGAGCATTGAGTTCGGCTCCTACATAAATTAAAGCAAACAGTATAATTAGCGAGTTTAAGCATCATCTTACCAATATCTAAAAACTGAAAAGAAGACATGCTATATATCCGAAAAGTGCTTTTTGATAAAAAGGAAATTCAATATATCCAAATAAGGTACATCTCAACATCCCCCCTCCCCCAAGGCAAGTAACATGATCAATAAACTCCTTTCAGGCTCCAGACTGAAGAATGTCAGTTTAAAATAGGTTGGCTTCTTGTGCAAATAAAGGTAATGTCACTCTTTTAGTACTGACTAGTCACTTAATTTCTTTAAAAAAAAATATCTCTGAGTTATTTAACAGTGCGAGTTAAAGATTACATACAGAAAATGCACTTCTTTATTCCTTGTTCATTTTTAAAAAAAAAAACATGCCTAAAAATTAATAGCTAACTTCAGTAGGAACTTCACTGCTGTTATATATTGTAAGCTTATACTTTCACAATTTTATTGTAGTGTACTAAAGAGGCATGATCTATTGTGAAGAATGAAAATAAACAAAGGACAGCTACCATGGCTTGAAAGGGGAAATTAAAAATGCATTTTTAAATTTTTTTTAATTAGATGAGGAATGTCCAACCTTAACAATTTTAAGACTTGAAGTCCACAAGTCTTAGTTGCCAAGGTTGGACACCCCTTCTGTTCCTTAAAAAAAAAGTTTCTCCACCTCAGCTACTTTGCATGGGCTTCAACTCCCAGAATCCCCTAAATTCAAATCCATGCAGCTTAAAAGTGATTGTGACTGAGAAAAGCTGCCTTAAAGGACAAACTTGGAAACAGCCACATTCTACATCCTATCTAACTGTAAGCCTAACCTGACGTATTACTGTAAATCAAAAATGGGTAACTTGTTTGGTGGTGGATTGCATCTCATTTAAAAGTAAAAGGTAAAGATCAGAATTTTCTTTTGGCAAGAGCGGGTGCCAGATAACGATGGGTGGTAGGTTCTTCTCAAATTTGGACTATGCGGGGACCTCCAAACTTGTCAACTTTTAAGACTTCTGGACTTCAATTCCCAGAATTCCTCAGCCAGCCATGGTGGTTGGGGAATTCTGGGAGTTGGAAGTCCACAAGTCTTAAAAGTCGCCAAATTTGGGGACCCCCAGACTACTACAACGCTCTCTTTTCAAGGTACGGCTGCATATAGTTCAGAAAGAAACAACATACAGTATTAAAGAATGCAAAAAGGAGAAATCCTACATTGGGTAATATGAAATGCTTTCAAGAACTATTCCCCATTCAGCATTTAAAGCTTGAAAATTATTTACACCAAGTTTTCCATTTGCCTAACTTCACACTTTGGGGCGAGGGCAGGGAAAAAAGACACCCAACTCAAGTAGCACCGTAAAAACTGTTGAGGTTTTAACTTTGCTAAAATACAAATATAAATAGATAAATAAATAGAGAAGGGATATATCCCACAAGTCTTGCAAAATAATTCAAAACTGCTTATCAACTGCACTGTAAGCAATCAGCTACTGGAGTGAAAGGAAATGCAGTAGAGGCGTGACATGAGCTGAGAGAGAACTGTTAAAAGGAAGCACCCAGCTATGTTTCTTACAAAGAATAACATTGGTTTTGTAGTAATGAGAAGAGATTCTGTCATTGGCATAGAAATCATTGATGGAGGAAGAAATCCATGGCGTAAGACAGGGATCTTCAAACTTGGCCATTTTCAAGACTTGTGGACTTCAACTCCCAGAATTCCCAGGCCAGCATGGCTGGCTGAGGAACTCTGGAAGTTGTAGTCCATAAGTCTTTAAAGTTGGCAAGAATGGAGACCACTCTGGCCTAAGGGACAAAAGAGGTTGTAACACCTGCCAAATCCTAACAGTGTAATGTCACAAGGTGCCAGAAAGAACAGCAGAGCTCAGCTAAGAACGCACAAAATTGTGTGTTCTTAGCTGAGCTCTGTGATGCCTTTAACCTTCCTGGGGTGTTGGGGTTTTTTTTGAGAGAGATGAGAAAGGAGCAGCAAGGAGTGAAATTAACATTCGGTCTCATTTTGATGGAACAATCCCTCTGTCAGATTAAAAGCTGCCTGAGACTGGACAGGACCTGTTTATTTTCAGGTGCTAAATCCAGCAGGTTTTTTTTTCTCTCTTAAGAGTTGCAATGGACTTTTGTATAGAGATTTTGCAATGTTATTTGATGAGAGAGAGAGGGAGGGAGGGAGGGAGGAAGAGGAATGGAGGGAGAAATAGACAGATCCCTTTCACTGCACTACTTCGGAGTTGGATTAACCTTTTATCTTGTATCTTGTGGCCCTTCTAAAATTATCCATGCTTAAGCACACTGAAATGAAATACTAATAAATATCTGCTTAACCTATGTACAGGTAGTACAGAAAAAATTTGCTTAAAGAGGGTCCAATGACATACTTTTCTATCACATCGAAGAAAAGAATTAAGCGGCCAAATATTGTACCAGGAGGCAGAACTTATTTTATGCCGCTTGACGCAGCAAAAGAGGTTTTGCCTGGAAAACCATTAGTTGTGATAGGAAGCCTAAGAACAAAGGCTTCTGTCCTCAGAAATGGCTGCTTTACGGTCGTATCAAGATGGTTTTCTTTTAACACTTACCTGCAGCAGATTTTATGCCCTCTGGATGCATTTCTAGGTAGAAAGGTTAAATCCCTTTTTTTGTTAATTCCTCACGGTGAATTCTCTACACCACTATCATTTGGGTTAATAATAGGCATTAAAAATAGTTCTGTGGGTAGAAGGTAACTTCTGGGTTATTATTATTATTATTTTTTACTGTAAACGCAGCATTATCATGTCAGGGTTTCTTCAAAAACGTGTAAAATAATCTGCTCTTCTGCAGATAACACAGGCTTCGGAATGGAGGCAGGAACAAAGACTTGCTGAAGAAAAGCACTTTGAGCAAATAAATATGTACATACACATACATGCTTATTCCTAAGTTCTTTGATTTAGCAAGTCTTGCAGGCAAAGTTGGAGATCCAGAGCGAAGGGAACTTTGTCTAGCTCGATGTATTTCCACTTAGGCAACTTGAAGATGCGTGGCTGGGGGTTTCTGGGAGCTGATTGGGGAATTTTAGGAATTGGAAGTCCACACATCTTCCAAGCTGCCAAGGTGGAGAAACATTGATTTAGTTTATACTTGGAGTTGCTGCATGGTCCTTGTTCAGAATGATGTTGATGATTTCCCCCTCGTGTTCTTTCATGTGGTCCAACAAATTCTCTTTGCTGGTGGACTCAAATCCACAGATACAACAGCAGAAGAGCAGAACACAGTATTCTGAGCCCAGGTAGGACAGGCCTGCGGCCTTCTCTGAATTGCTTGAGGTATTGGTTGTAGAAGGTTGATCCTGATGGTGGTCAGAAATCATTATTTTGTTCGCTGTCGCTTTAGGAGAGTTTGAAAGAGACAAACCTTCGGAGCTACTGGTGAAAGGAATGGCATCGCCTTCCAAAGTTTTGGTTACTTTCTTCCCAGTAAGCTGACCCAGTAGCCTACAAGACAAAGGGAAAAAGTTGCTTATTTTTCATTCACGAACGCTCAAGAGATGGGAGGATTGTTCAATACTACACACAATACTGAAAAATGACCTGTAAGTTATATTCTGCATTTTCTCAAAAGTGCTGCAATGTTATCTTCAAACTGTTATTGAATAGCCTCTTGTTGTTTTTTTTAAGAGAGGTTTAGAAGTTTGGCATAAGGAGAGTTGTCCCGGACAGCCAGGTGGGCGGCAAATAAAATTCATAAATAAATAAAGTAAAAAACAAGAGGTCAGCTAGCAAAAGCATCCATTTTCATCATCCCTCCCTCCCTCATTTTTTATTACATTTCTTCTCTCAAACCAGGGGATTAAAAGGGTTATCTTTTCATCGTGATTTTGGATTGAATCTGGTGTCACAAACCTAAACGGGGACTGCCGATCGCACACACCTGCCGCTTTGTGATATTGCATCATTAATAGCTTTATTCACTTGTTCGTAATTATAGTTTTCGTCACTTGCATGTTTCCACATATGAGACTTCAGGGAAGGAGGGTGGCTGCATACATATCCACAGAGAGAACATCTGAAAGGGATGCAAAAGTTATTGCAAGTGTAAACAGATACTACAGCAAAGCATTATTTTCAGACCAGTATTCTATTTTTCATTTAAGCCTGGCTTATCTGGAATTGCAGTTTAAATATCATTTTAAAGAACCTCGACTAGGGTTCCTCCCCTAACTTTAATTCTGTTTCAGGGCAAATATATAGCCCTACCTATAAGATTACAGATTAGCTACCTGTGTTTTCCCGAAAATAAGACCTTGTCAGATATTTTTTTTTGCCATCAAAAAAGGCACTAGGTCTTATTTTTTGGGAGGGAATGTTGTCCACTGACTCACCTCACTTGCGCGTCACCCCCAGCCTCCTTTTTGCTGTCAGAGGCCTTCAGAAATTTCTTCTGCAGACAGCAAAGCTGATCGGAGTTTTGTTATCCGCTAGAGAGGCCTTCAGGGAAGCCTTGCTGGCTGCAGAAGAAATGGGCTGGCAAGGCAGGTGTCGGGGTGTGCGAGGCCTGGCTGCAACTGTCCAAACGTAAGTAGTAGGGCAGGCCCCCCCTCCATCCCCACCCTGGCTTAATTTTTACCTGTGAACCCTGGAATGGGGGGGGGTCTTAATTAGGGCTTATTTTGGAGGTAGGGCGCATATGTAAAAAAAACCAATCTAGGATTTACTTTCGGGGTGGGTTGTAATTTCCGGGAAACACGGTAATAAAATGGACTTTTCAGGAAGCAGAAATTGTAGGGGACATCCCATATTCTCAGGAACTGAGAATATGAATTTTCAGAAGATCAAAGGCTGAATCTGGTTAAAATGGAGAAGATGTCTATTGCTCTAAGATTATTTTTTTTCTTTTTGCGCTTCAAATTAGATTTATCCCTGGCCATTCACAGGAGTGGTTTGTCCTTACCTCCTCCTTGCTAGGGTTTTGAGAGAGGGACGGGCCTAAAAATCACCCAGCTAACTAAGGCAGACTAAAACTCTCACTTTGTAGACTGTTGTTGTTAAGGCTACACCAGACTGGCTCTCTCTAAAGCAGGTATCCCTCGATGTTCGGCCACAATTCAACCCAAATTTTCCACTGCTAAGCAAGACAGGTGCTAAGTGAGTTTTGCCCTGTTTTATGACCTTTCTTGCCACAGTTGTTAAGTGAATCACTGCAGTGAACACAGTTGTTAATTGAATCTGGCTTCCCCGTTGCATTTGCTTCTCCAAAGGTTGCAAAACTGGATCACATTACCCAGGACACGACAGCTGGTTTGAGTCAGTTGCTAAGCATGTGAATTTTGATCATATGTGACCATGGGGATGCTACAATAGTCATGTGAAAAATGGTCATAAGTCACATTTTCAGTGCTGTTGTAACTTTGAAGGGTTACGAAAGAAATGGCTGTAAGTGGACGGCTACCTGTACTACCAAATAATTGATAAATTGGGGGGACGACCGGATACCCAATCTTTCAAAAGATTACTCAGTGAAACAAATCAATAAGCTCAGTAACAGAATGTTACATGGAGCTCCGGTTAAAAGGGGCTTGGACATTCTTTCTAGCAGAGATTTTGGAATGTGATGGTTGAAAGAAGGATAGCAATAGCATTAGCACTTAGACTTATATGCCGCTTTACAGCCCTCTCTAAGCGGTTTACAGAGCCAGCATATTGCCCCCAACAATCAGGGTCCTCATTTTATTGACTTCAGAAGAATGGAAGCCTGAGTCAACCTTGAGCCAATCAGGATCGAACTCCTGGCAGTGAGCAGAGTTAGCCTGCAACTGCAATAGCACTTAGACTTATATACTGCTTTACAGTGCTTTACAGCCCTCTCTAAGCGGTTTACAGAGCCAGCATGTTGCCCCCAACAATCTGGGTCCTCCTTTTACCCACTTCAGAAGGACAGAAGGCTGAGTCAACCTGGAGCTTGGTGAGATTCGACCTGCCACATTGCAGGCAGCTGGCAGTCAGCAGAAGCAGCCTGTAGTACTGCATTCTAACCACTGCGCCACCGCAGCTCCTAAAGGATGAAAGAGGTCTTCCAGATAGAACACTACAAATCTTAGCAACTCCACTCAAGGCATCCAAATGCAATTCTTGTCAACTTTTCATCTCTTAACGCCTGGTTGATCTAGATCAGGGGGGTCAAACTCCAGGCCTGCACTTAGATCTGGCCCAAGGGGCCATTCTGGAAACAGTGGACTGGCCTGCTGTGCCTCTGCCAGCAAAAACAGAGCTCAGGAGGGCCCCTAACACAAGTGACGTTGAGCTGGCCATGCATACCTGGCCCCGAGGCCAAACACACAACCCTGATGCGGCCCTCAATGAAATCGAGTTTGATACCCCTACTCTAGATGGAGCTGAACAATCTCCAGAATGCATTCTGGAGCTCAACAGATAATGCACAGTGCATTTTCTTCATCAGTCAGTGGCTACAGGTCTCTTCCAATAAATCTGAGAGCCGTGTTCAGCTGAAGAATCGTTCTTATTAGAGCTTATCCACAGCCTGAAGCTTTCTTAATGTTTGGGTTGCTGACGGCAACACAACGACTAAAAAGGGAGACAGACCAAGCACTAAGAACAGAGACAAAGAAACCTGGAGAGTTGTGACCCTGTTATTTAGCCACAGAACAAGATGGCTGCTGGCGCTGCTGTCTCGGTGAGCTGTTTGTTACCTACTTGAACTGCTCCATTAACTGCACCGCCTGATGCTCCTGTGGGTGGCGCCTCATGTGACACTTCAAGCTATTCATACTTGTGGTGGCGAAGTCACAGACGCGGCATCTGAAGAAAAGCGAAGAAAGGGTTGACTCCAACCGTCTTGCGCCCCCTTGGCATTTTAAGGCCCCAGCGTTAAATATTTTTAAAAAAATGTTTTGGAAAATTAGCAACGCTTCCAAGTTTGATCGCTTGCAACCCAAAAGTCAAACGTGGCCTTCCTTTACTTCCCAACTCACTTTCTGATGGGAGAGAAAGAAAATTCTGGTTGGGGGATTCTGGAAGCAACCGTCGGCAAAAGGCTGGTCAAGTTTATTAAGAGAAGGTTGCAGAGGTGGGATTCAGCAGGTTCTGACCAGTTCTGGAGAACAAGTAGTGAATATTTCGAGTAGTTTGGAGAACTGGCAAATCCTACCTCTGATTGGAGATTTTACAGTAACCTTCCCCTGCCACACCCACCACTGGGCATGACAGGTAGCAAAAAAAATTGAATCCCACTACTGGACAGCTGCCATTAAGATTGCAAAATCACGAGTCAAGAGTCCATTCCAGATGTTGGCAACCTATTTAAGCAAGGAAACAGAGAGACAGCTATCTGCCAAAGTCTGAAAACCCCACAGCCTTTGCAAAAATGGCTGCTAAATTGTTCACTATGACAGGATGGGGAAATATATGGACCGTAGCCCTGTAACTGAATTTAACAATTAGATGAAAAAGCAGATTCAGATTTATTTACATCTCAAGCCTTGCATTACTTTAGAATGCAATCTCTGAAACGTTCCTGACTTTGGCTTGACAAACCTCAGTTGACTGCTTTCAAGCTCTCTCTGAACGTTTTAAATGGAATATTCTAAGCGTTCACGTGTCTTTTGCAAATGGGACTCTCTAAAAAGCCAGGCTTAACCCACTTGATTTAATAATTTAGTGGGTAAAATTTAGGTTTGAATTCTGCCAATGAAAACAGACTATACCTATGGCAAGCAGATGCAGTAGGAAACAGTGCGCAGAAGGATGGAGGACTCTATTTCAAGAAGAAATCTCTGATCGCTTATTTATGCCCTTCTTCAAAATCAGAATAGTTCAAATTACCTGCCGGTTGCTGCATTAAGAAACAAACAAAACAAAATTGGCTTAAATATACAGATTATCTTCACCTGTATGGCTTATCCGAGTTGTGAATCCGTCTGTGATTCCTCACACCAACATACGTTGTGCTTGTGTAATCGCAAATGTCGCAACGGTAAAGTTTCTGGACTGAAATCTTGTCCCCTGTAACAAGAACACCAGAAGACATTGGTTCTCCTTCAACACTGGTTTCCACCAGGCCTAATTAGATGCCTGTGAGAACCCTCTAAGCTGCAAATAAAATACAGGGAAGGACACCATGCAGCATAGCCCACTGACAGGGAAAGGTAAGCTGAGCTATGCTGTTGACCAGCTACTTATTTCTTTATTAAATTTATAGGCTGTCTATCTTGCTATCAAGATAAACTCTGGGTGGCCTTGATGAACTTATCTTCTTCACCCTTTCCAACCATGTAGATTGGCAGCTTTCATTACCACAATTTTTAAGGGATGCTGCCTTTCAATGAGCTGCGGTGGCACAGTGGTTAGAGTACAGTCCTGCAGGCTACTTCTGCTGCCTGCCGGCTGCCTGCAATTTGGCAGATCGAATCTCACCAGGATCAAGGTTGACTCAGCCTTCCGTCCTTCTGAGGTGGGTAAAAGGAGGACCCAGATTGTTGAGGGCAAGAGGCTGACTCTGTAAACTGCTTAGAGAGGGCTGTTAAGTCTAAGTACTATTGCTATTGCTGTCTGTCTGTCTGTCTGATCTATCTGTCTGTCTGTCTGGCTGCCTGCCTGTTGTGGCACAGTGGTTAGAATGGAGTGTTGCAGGCTAATTCTGCCCACTGCCAGCAGTTCAATTTTGACCAGCTCAAGGTTGACTTAGCCTTCCGTCCTTCCGAGGTGGGTAAAATGAGGACCCAGATTGTTGGGGGCAAGAAGATGACTCTGTAAACCGCTTAGAGAGGGCTGTTAAGCACTGTAAAGTGGTATATAAGTCTAAGTGCTGCTGCCGCTGCTGCCTTGAATCACCTGCTATTCATTCTCCAGTGATTCAAAGCCCTTTCCTTAGATGTTTCTAGATTCCAATACCATTTCTGTATTGCCGTGATCAAAACTGGACATATTTTCCTCTGCCATTTGCGTAACAGTCACCCTTTGTGTAATCGGAGGGTAGGATGTATCAATAAAATATACACACACCCATCTGCACTATTCAGGTGACCCTGAGGGTGCAGATTAAACCTCCAAATTGGCCTCAATGATTCTCAGAGAAAGTGCTAACGACTAGAGGACTGCAAGGAATATCGATCCTTCCATCCTCCACCAGTCAGTCGGAATGGAAGAAGCTTCATGGATGAGAAGCGAAACAACTTCAAGGAAGAACAAAGTCCAGTTGCCTTTTGAAAAAGCACCTTTGGGAGAAGAAAAGTCTTAAGCCCTGGCAAATGATGTATCATTGACTGGAGGTGGGAGATGACCACGCTGAACCAGAGGATGGGATCAAACATGTCATCAGTTTGGAGTCGCTGTGCTCCCATAACAGACCTAAGTCTAGCCCCCGCATTGAATTCCGTTGACTCCTACCTAGTGCCAATTTGCCTGGACCGTTAGTAGATCAGTTTCTTGCGTATAGGTATGATGTAATAAAGTGCTCTGACCTAAACTCCTACTCCTGCTTACTCATGCCTGTAGTCACTACAACCAATATTGTAAACTATAAAACTCTCAGATTAAATTTGTTAAATCTGACAGAGCACTACACTCCCATTCCTTTTTACTAAACGATTTAGTTGAGCTGGCAGGTTTGGGACCTGCTGTATAATGCATACATGTTTTGGAAGGGGTAGAAGATAAGGACAATCCCGGTTTAGCTGAGGGTCTCTTTCTATAGTGATACCATATTTCCCCCTTCAATCCTGGGTGCCGGGGATCCCTTTAATGTTTATAAGTGCAGCCACCATGATTTTCTAAGCAGGTAAGGCGTGTTCCTGCTCAAGGGATTGACGTGCAAGCAGCTGCTGTGCCATAAACTTTGGGGGTTTTTTATAGAGGCGGCATCTGTTTGACAAGAGGGTTTCCTTCCTGCAATGGTATCTTAATTTGATTGCAAAGGGCTTCCAAAATGCTTTGGAAAGCTAGCATTCTCTTTTAATGAATACAATTAAAAAAGGAAATGGTGTTAAGTGAAGGCAGGCTTCTGACATGAGCTTTTCAAATAAAAAGATACTTTAAGATACTAACCAGGCAGGAAAAAAAACCCTACACCCTCCCTTTAAAAAAAAAAAGCAATAAGCAATCAAGAAAAAATGCAGACAAACACTAATCTCTGCATCCAGATGAAGGAATAAGAAAAAGAACATCCCACCCTCAAATAATTCATCATTATTCAGTGACAAAAGGCCTGAAATAAGGGTAGCTGAGAAACATTCTCCTCTCTCAATTCTCCAAGGAATCTTTCTCCCCCACGATATCAGATTCTATTTGTGCAACTGGGGAAATAAAGGATGAATTTACAATGGCCTTCTTGCAAACTGGCACCCTTTAGAGCAGGCGTCTCCAAGCTTGGCAACTTGTGGACTTCAACTCCCAGAATTCCCCCAGACACCTTGGGAGTTGAGTGGGAGTTCATGCTGGGAGTTGAAGTCCACCAGTCTTAAAGTGGACCAGTTAGGAGATCCCTGAGCTTTAGACCAATGATCCTCAAACTCAGCAAACTTTTAAGACTCGTGGGATTCTGGGAGTTGAAGTCCACGGCTCTTAAAAGTCTCTTGAGATGAAGAAACGCTGCTCTAGATCTACCATGTTATAATTCCTGAAACTGTCAGTCAGCAGAGCCAAAGAGATGAGTAGTGCAGCATTTTGGAGGGTACCAAGAGAGAAGGAGCATCCTGGCCATTCTCACAATCACCCAGGCCATGGTGTACCAAGGGAACCCAACCCAACCCACAAAACTAGCCAATGAGATAGACAGTACCAACTCTTTCATCTGCTTCACTGCAAGCCATTAAGCCGTCAAACGTTGGGGTTGCATATGTATCTGGGAGACAATGCTGTTCTCTTTCGTGACTGCGCAGCTGGCTCTGGAACACAAAACAGTCGCATAAATGTTAAAACGATGTTGTTAATCCCTAACTCCAAACTCAGTTGGGCATTCTTTTATGCCGTAAGCATTAATGACAGTGGATGAACTAACAATGTCCGCGCGTGACTCGAAGCCACACTTTTAACAGCCGTTTGATAACTTGAACCCACATGGGTTGGATGCTTCCATCTTGCTAGGTTGTCGGTCATAGTTTAAAAGTCGAAACAGCTTAGTTCACACAGCATGAGGTGCCAATGTGTAAACTTGGTCAAATACCTAATCCTGGTGAAGAGAATGTAGGGGAAGTTACTGCATACAATAAGATGGGTTATAGGAAATCCTACGAGATAACTGGAGATAATTTTCAATCTAAAACAGCGTTTTTCAAACCTGGCAACTTTTCAGGTATGCGGACTTCATACCCCAGAATTCCCCAACCAACATGCCAGATTTTAGCCTGGCATGTTGAGTTCACAAGTTCAGAATTCTGGGAGTTGAAGTCCACACATTTTTTAAAATTTCTAAATTTGGAAAAGGCTAATCTAAACAAAACTACATTTGCTTGACTCATGTGCGTTCATTAAAAACAACGCACCGATGATTGCAGCCGTATAGAAATCTAATAAAGATGATTAATTCTAAAGGATTAATCATTTTTGACAACCTGAAAAAAAGTTTTGTTTGCAATACTGCTTGCCACCACTCCATTGCTTTGCCAAGCTACCGCTAGAAAGAAACATACCAGGATGAACAGTTGCAGGGTTCAGGTATGTCTAGTCTAATAAAGAGAAGAACTAGGGTATGGTATGATAGCCGTCTTCTAATACTTGAGGGGCTTCCAAGAGAAGAAGCGGTCAACCCGTTCTTCAAAGCACCTGAAGGCAGGACAAGAAGCAATGGATCCAACTTGGAACTAAGGAGAAATTTCCTGACAGGAAGAACAATGACATTCTACTGACAGCGAGTGAATGGGAATAGCTTGCCTCCCAGAGTTGGGGCTGCTCCATCACGGGAGGTTTTCAAGAAGAGAGTGGACAGCTATTTGTCTGTAAAGGTTATAGGGTCTCCTGAGGAACAGTGGGTTGGACTAGAGGACCTCCAAGGTCCCTTCTAACCCTGTTATTCTACGTTCTGTGTCTTGCACAAGTCCCAGAGGTCCCCACAAGCGGGACCACAATTAGAAACCACGGTGGTGGGTTGTATTAAACGAGCAGAGGACAACACACTCGCCACCCCACCAATTCACTTGAATTCTAAGCCCCCCCCCCCCAAGGGCTGGGCGTTTGATGAACGCAAAGCGCAGCTGCTCACCTTGTAATGAAAGGATTCCTCGCACTGCTTGCACTGGTACATTCGGGTTTTGCAGTGATTGATCATGTGACTTTCTAAATCCTTGCTGTGGTCGGCCACATGCTCACAAATCGGGCACTGGTAAGGCTGCCTCTGCCGATGGACCCGCAAATGCTGCTTGATGTACCCTTTGTTGCCGCTGCTGTAGTGGCACAGGCGACACCGGAAGGGCCGTTCCGCGTCAGGGATGTATTCCACCAGACTGCTCCCAAGCACGCTGGCATCCCCCGGCGGTTGGCACTGAACGTTATCCTGCAGCTCCTTCAAAATGTCGTCGTCGGAGGCATTCTGGTCCGTCCTCTCTTTCAACTTCTCGATCACGGTCAGCAGCGACATGCTGATGCCCATTTTAATGGGGCCTTCGGGGAGCTCCGGTTTCTCCTTCTGCAGTTCCACGAAAGCCCTTTCCTCTTGGTTCAGGCTACCCAGTTCCTCCGTCTTCAGGGAGGCGATCCGTTTAGAATGGCCTAAATAGCCACCGTCGGGAGGCCTCTGCCCAGCCTCCGAGCTTAAAGGGTTTACGTCGGCGAAAGCCCGGAAGCTGGATCGAGCAAGCTCCGCGGCTCGGATTGGCATTGTAACCAGGGCTTCGGCGGCGAGCGAGTGCAGCCTCAAAGACTCTGAATTGGTTCTCCTCCGGGCAGGTGGAGCATTTTCGTCGGCCGTTTTAACCCGGCTGGGATTCGTGTTATCTTCGGCCTTTTCCGTGCTGCTCCACCCAATGATAACTTCTTCGATTTCAATCGAATTCTTATCCATGTGATAAACGTCATCCGACACATCCCGCCCAGCCGGCGGGTGTTCGGGGGCGGCGCCCACGGAGTAATGCAAGACATTATCCATGACGTCATTCTGCAAGACAGGCTCTTCGGCACTGGGCAGGCGCTCCACAATGACGTTAACATGGCCCTTTTTGTTCGGGCTGCAGTGGACGATTTTCTGGGCCGAAGAAAGCAAGCTGTCAGCCCCCAAGTGATCCGCCTCAAGATCTTCATGCGACGCCTTCTCCTCTGATAATTGGTCTGCAGGGGAAAGCGCAGCTGGCTGACCGAGGGATGGTTCTTCTTTGATGGGCGATTCAGTTTTGAAAGCCACCGGCTCGGGGCTGCAAATGCGAAGTTGTACGGGCTGGTTATTGCAGAGCCCTGGCTCGTTATTATCTAGGGACAGGACGACGGTATCCAACATGGCAGAATCCGGCAAGGTGGCCTGCTCTTTTTCTTCCTCGAATATGGGATAGGAGCAATTCACCTCGCCCGCATGCTTCCAAGCGTGCGTTTTCAACATTCGTTGCTGTCCACACGTGTAGCTGCAAATCAAGCATCGGTACATGCCGTATTGCTCGTAAGTGTACCATTTCCGCCTCCCTTTCTCAGGCCCTTGGGGAGGTGGCATCTCATGATCGCTGCCGATGATGACTTTTTCTACTGGCCCAGGCAAAGCGGTGCCCGAAGGGCCGATGCAATGCTCTTCCTTCAACAGGGCGTGGATTTTGCTGCTGTTCTCCGGGTGACTTCGAATGTGACTTTCAAAATCTTCTACGCTCCGGGTGGTGAAACTGCAGACTGAGCACATGAGCATGACTTCGTTCTGCTGACCGTGTTGCTTGATGTGCTCCTGTAAGAGGGGAAGAGTGGGCGACACCGACTTGCAGAGGCTGCACTCATAGCAAAGGACCTTCCGCTTGCTCTGCGGAGGGTCGTCCATCGTGTAATAGTCTTCTATGTTGATGGTGCCCAGAGCAGGCAATTCCAGGGCTTTGGGTGGGGCCTCTGGAAGGCTGGGGGTGTCGGGGTACAAGCGTTTCCCCCCGATCAAAACGCATTTCTGCGACTTTTCGCTTTTGACAATTTTGCTGAGCTTTTGAATGACCTGGATGAGGGGATCAGGTTTACCCTTTAATGGGTCATCGGCGTTCTCTGTGGATGAGCTTACGATGGCTTCGGAAATCAGGACGGCTTCCTGCTCCCTCAGATTTGAGATTAGGGCAATGATGTTACTGCCTTCTTCCATAATACCTAAAATGGCAATAAACAAACAAACAATAAATTGATGCTTGGGCTACAGACGGAAACCTCCAGCTTGTAAAGTACAGAGAAGAAAAAGATGCATATTTTTGGGCTATAAATATGTCTTTTTCATTTTACTGGCTATGATAGTATATGATAGGGATCTCTAATCCCCGGTCCATGGATCAGCGTCGGGCCATGGCATGCCAGAAACCAGACCACACAAACAAGCGAAGGCCCATCTGTGGGCTATAAGGCAGCATTTGAAACCATGCCATCTCCAGTCTGTGGAAAAACCTCTCTCCATGGAACTGGTCCCTGGTACCCAAAAGGTTGGGGGCCACTGGTATATGACACGATCTGTTTCATCATCAGTAATTTGAAGTATGTGCAATTAACTACAAGAACAGGATGCTTCTTTAATTAAGAAATGATCTTTTGCATGTGATGCTGGAGAAGGCTCCTGCGTATTCTCTGGACAGCAGAGAGGACTAACAAGCAAGTACCAGAGCGCATAATAACCCCAGACATTATCACTAGCAGGTAAAATCACAAAGCTACATCTCGCTTACTTTGACCATGTCATGTGGGGGAATTCACTGGAGAAAACATTTGCGTTTGGAAGAGTTAGCAATAAAAGGAAATTAGGCCACCAGACAACACGGTGGCTGGACACTAATAAAACTGACACCAACCAGAACAATAGAAAAACTCAAAGTAGTAGTGCAAGATCCAAAGATGTGCAGAGACCTGGCCCAAAGAATAATCAAGAGTTGGATATGACTGAATGGACATCATCATCACCTTTCACATGATGGACTTACCAAGTTCTTGCCAGTGTAACAGATGGTTTTAAAGGGAAAGGGTTCAGAGACAATTTTTCGTTTTGCCGACTCCAGCACTCCTGTTAGCTGCTCTCCTGCTCTATTATTACAGGTGATTATTGCTGATGTTCCCATGTGCCAGAGCACAGCACTGTTCATCGGAACAACTGTCAGTTTAGTACTTGCATCTTCCTTGTGAATGCTCTCCTCTTGCTAACTGAAAACCTTCATAGCAGTAATCTGGGACAAAAATAGAGTTGATTAAGTATCTTTTTAGAGTATAAGAAAGCATCTTTTCTACAGCACCATGCAACATTATTTTACTTTAGAAATAAAAATGTAATCTATTAAAGACCGAGGAGTGTATAAAGCCTACTTTTCAAATCAGTTTTGATTCTTGGCAACAGTCTGGATGAGACCCTGCCTTTTTGCTGGCAACATTTTCAGAGATGGCTTTGACAGCCAGTATCTTCTTCCAATGGCTGAGAGTGACTGGCTCATGGTCATCCAGCTGGCTTTGAGCCTAATCACACACCAAACTGGTTCACAAAGACTTTCATAAATTTAGGGCAAATTACCCACATGGCCTTCAACCATACCAAAACTAAGCATCTGGAATAAGCTTGGAAAGCAATCAGTAAGCAACAAACTGTTTAAATTCTAACAATATCATTATCCATGCCATCATTCTTGGCTAGCTGCAATTTGTAGATTGTCTTCAGCTTAGAGAGGCAGCATGGTTGATATATTGGACCAGGAGCAGGGAACTGGGTTCACTTTCAAATAGTCACTAGGGAACTGGGGGAAGTCACTTTTTCTCAGCCCAATCTACCTCACAGGAAAATAGGTAGAGGTCTATTGCCTTAAGTTACTAAATGCGCCACACAATAGAAATAACATTTTGATTAATCTAGTGAGAGGTTCTAATAATACTGCACTCAAACAGTTTAGGTGGATTGGAATTTGGCTGTGATGACTTCCTATGTCGGAAAATTATAAAATAAAATAAAATAAAATAAAAATTTGGACAACACAGTGGAGAATCCCAGGTTTCCAATTCCTTCATTGGCATTTTACAGCCTGAGATACCTAAATCTAACTACCGGTAGCTACATTCATACTAGCCTTTTATATATGACAATTCAATTGAAGCTAAACTGTGGGATAATTTCAATCAGGACATAATTTCACATAGGATTTTAAAATTAGTGCTTTGTTTTCAAGGCAGAAGAGGACAGGGAAGGACAAGTTAGAGGATGTATGCAAAATGTATGAGAACTGAAGCCAACTAAAATCCTTTTATGAAACTACAAAAACTGGCTCTAGGGGAAGGTTCAAACACAGACTTTAAAGCTGTAGCCTTTAATTTTGTTTCTTGTTTTTAATATGGGGCACCAATTTAATTCAAGACCTATTAGCATGGCAATATCGTCAGCTCACACACCTAACCAATTGGGAGGACCTTTGTAGGGAAAAAAACACACTATAAAACCAGGAAAAATCTTGAAGGACAGGTGCATTTACCTGCCATAGCAAGACAAGGAATTGGGGGGGGGGGGGGGAGGGAAACCCGCCAAACAGAATCTTCACAATTGACCATTAAGGAAGGAGTTTGACAGGCTCCACCAGTCTCTACCCCCAGCGCCCTGACACCTCCAGAGGGGTTTGGGACTACAAATCCAAACATCCTCAGCCAAGCGCTTCTATTGGCTGGGAATTCTAAGAAGGGTAAATCTCAGGCATCTGGAGGCATGTCCTATTGAGTGAATAGGTAGGTCGCTTGGTTCAAATCCGTACGGAAAAGGTTGTATTATTCTCCACACCCACTTATTGCGGGTGGAGAAAACTCGTGAAGAACGAAGGGAACAAAAAACAAAAAAAAAAAAAAAAGGACGTCAGGGTCGGACCAACTCAGAGCCCACCCACGCCACCCGTCTGTTCTCACGACGCCCTTACCCGCAGGGAGGGAATCTACCCCTTGCCTGGGTCTCTGCCCCGCAGCGAGCCCAACCTCGGCGGTTCACCCCGCGGGGAAACACGCCACGCTCGGCTTACGGCGTGAAAGGAGCCAGCCTGGCCAAGCGCCCTCGTGTGAACCGAAGGAGGCGGATTGGGGCGGGGGGGGGGGAAGAGAATCACCCCCCGCCGGGCGAAACGGGCTCTGGGGAGACCCCCAAACCGCCAGTCTCCCCCGCAAAACGGCAGCCCTTTCATCCGAGGGGTCCCTCCGGCTGAGCCGCGGGAGGGGAAGAGCCTTTTTCGAGATCCCTCCCCCGCCTCGCTCCCTCGCTGTCTCCCCGGTCCCGGCTGCCCCCTTATCCGATGGCTTGCCGGCCTCCCGTCCCCGTCCCCGATGCCCGCTTCCCCGAGGACGGCTCCCTTTCCCGTCCCTTCCCTTCCCTACCCCGGTTCTCTCGCCCTCCTTCTTCTCTGCGGTAACCACTCCACTTCAAAATGGCGACGATGGAAAGGCGGTCACGTGACCCCGCGGGGCCAGGTCAGGTGACCGGGGAGTGAAAGTTCCGTCTCTGACTTTCTCTTCTTCCTTCTCCTCCTCCTCCTCCTCCTCCCCCCTCCCCGCCCAGCTGTTACCATAGAGACCGGAAGGCGCGCGAGGCCGGCCCAGCGGGAAGCGCGCGTGCGCGCTCTGTCTCCCCCTCCCTTTCCCCCTCCCTCTCTCACTCTCTCCGCGTTCGCACGACGCTCTTAACCCGCTTCGTTGGGGGAGGGGCGAGCAGACCCGCTTCTCTGGTACCGTAAGCCGTGCGGTAACCAGAGCTATAAGACGGGTCCTCTTTAAAAGCTATCCGAGCCTGGCGTGTGTGTGTGTGGGGGGGTATATTGGGGAGCCAGGTCATTTGGGTCGTGTGAACGTCCATTTCTACACCTCAAAGTGTGGGTGGGGGCACATCTTTATCTGGCAACCGCTTTTTGTTTGTACTGTACTACTGGGGATTTGGGTTTGATCACCAGGCTGCTTGGCTTGCCTTGTGATTCTTGTAACTTGTTTTCATTTCATTTTAATTCTCTTCACTGCAACAAGAGTCACTTGTTGAGATGGGAGGTTGAATAAATCAATACATAAAATAAATAAATGCATCTCTCTTAAGCTACCATTTCCTGTCCCTGGAGAGGTGATCCTCAGTTTATCAGCCTGGCAGACGTGGGGCTGCTATTGTTATTGCTGTTATAGTTTTACTTTGCCTCTCTCCCTGTGTGTGTATAGAATAGTTAAATATTTATATTTATGTGTGCATACACAAATGTGTGTAATGTATGTGTGTGTAGACACAGACACATGTATATGTGTGTGTGTACATGTGTACATAAACACATTGCGCATATGTTTGAGCAGGGGATTGGACTACTAGATCTCCAAGGTCCTTCCTTATCCTATTATTCTATGTTCTACATCTGTATATGAAACTCAAGGGAGCTAATGCATCTCATATTGTAGAGTTTCTTGGGGTTCTCTTGATTTTGGTTGCTGGCTTGCAGACGTTTCATTACCCACCTCGGTAACATCATCAGTGCAACTAGTGTGGTCCTGCTTTCACAAGAAAGCAGTGCACGGATGACGTTACCTAACTGGGTAATGAAATATCTGAGGCCAATAGCCAAAATCAGAGACGGGCCTGCTTTAAAGCACTCCAACCTGAACTATGGATCCTCTTCTTCTCTTGGAAACCCTGAATACTCCTGCCTCCTGTGATTCCTACAACAGCTGGGTTGAGAGAGCGGGGGACTGGCTGAGGTGACCTTCATGCCTAAGGCAGGCCTAGAATTCACAGTCTCCCAGTTTATTCTCAAACTTCACTCTGCGTCCAACCAGTGCAAAGGAAGAAAATGTAACACCCTGTATGCATGTCTTTTCCCCTTCATCATCATCTTCATTTAACTTTATGGGACCCATAATCCCTTGCAAGGTGGAGTCTGGGCAACTGAATGAAGCTAGCAAAGTGTTTTAATGGCCGGATGCCCTTCCTGTCACCAAGGTGGAGTTGTTTTTTTCCAGCATGCCCAGAGAAAGAAATATCTGCCCCTACCTAGGATCGAACTCACAGCCTCCTGATTTGTGAGGTGAGAATTCCACCTCTAGGCCAGCCACACCACTCTTGCCTTTTCTCCTTCATCTTGTGGGATAAAGATTTCTTAGCTTGTAATTATTCTACAAACTCTTCAACTTAGCTACCAAAGAGAAAGCATGCTTTGAAGGCATTAAAAAAGAGTAGATGATGTAATCATTTTTTAAAAATGCTGTTACTTATGTTTTAATTTTTTTTTTTTTAAAGAATGGGCTCGTAAATCTGTGAGCTCACAAATGCATTAAAAGTCCTCCGGAATTGTTGACCTCACAGTGGTCAAGTCTTCTACTTATTCGTTGTAGCTCGGGTTCAAAATATTTTTCAGTGATTAAAAAGAATGGGGTGTCTTAGTGTTATTAATGGGATAAGTCATGGAGAATTCCTCAAGAAGCACAAAAGGAGGTAGTATATTTTATGTAACATTTGGGTTGTAAATTTCCCCCAGTGCCTACACATTTTCTGTAGTGGGGAATGTGAGTGCATTGGAACTTCCTCAGCCTTTTAATCACAGGCTCTTCATTTTAAATTGAACATCTAATTGGCATCTCAACAATCATAAATTTGTTTCGTGGCATATTATATAGCATGCTGCAGTGCAGTGGCCATAACTGAGTTCTTGGTATTAGGATGTTTGAAACACTTCCAAAACCATGGCTTACCCGGTATTTAGAGGATCAGGCCCATCAGATAAAGGCCGAATGCCATGCATACAACAGAACTGGTCCTTGACTTATCACCACAACTGAACCCCAAATTTCCATGGCTAATCAAGACACTTGTTGAATTTTGCCCCATTTTACAAACTTTCTTGCCACTGCAGCTGTTAAGTTCATAACACGATTGTTAAGTGAATCTGGCTTCCCCACTGACTTTGCTTGTTAGAAGTTCACATGACTCCAGGAAACTGCAACCGTCATAAATACATGCCAGTTGCCCAGCATCTGAATTTTGATCACGTGACCACAGGGATGCCATAACAATTTTAAGTTTGAAAAATGGTTGGTTATAAGCCACTTTGTTTCAGTGCCGTGGTAATTTTGAACAGTCACGAAATGAAAGGATGTAAGTTGAGGATTACCTGTTCCTTTTTCCCTTGCACTGATTGGACTCAAGAGTGAGTGAGGTTTGAGGGTAACTCAACTTTAATTTTGGGATTTCTGAGGTTCATTAGCACTGCTCCGCAAAAGGTTCCTCCTCCTCCTCCTCCTCCTCCTCCTCCTCCTCCTCCTCCTCCTCCTCCTCCTCCTCCTCCTCCTCCTCCTCCTCCTCCTCCTCCTTTTCTCTTCCTCCTCCTCCTCCTCTTCTTTTCTCTTCCTCCTCCTCCTCCTC